GATGCAAACACTTTGTGTTATTAATGGCCAAGAATAAGGCTTAACATTTATTTTATTAAAAGAACGTTTCGTCGTTTACTCGATCCGTCATCAGGTTAAAAACTACCATATATTGTCTAATCCATTGAGTCGCATTGCATCCTGATGCACCCTACTTAAGTAGTTTACTCTGTCTAACGCCAGACGATTTTACTCGTCGAGGGGAGAGCGCTGGCGCTTAATGGGTTAACTGGGTTAACTGGCCTATCTGCCCATGTGTCTAGTTAACCCATTGAGTCGCATTGCACCCTGATGCACCCTACTTTAGTATTTTACTCTGTCTAACGCCAGACGATTTTACTCGTCAAGGGGAGAGCGCTGGCGCTTAATGGGCTAAACAGCTTGCGTTAAGCTGTAATGAGGCAAAGAGAAAGTTCGTTATTAAATATTTTCAGCAAACACTTCAGCTAAGTACTGCATCTTTGCTTCCCTGCATGGTATTGGCTTGCTTTCCCACACAGGGCAAGGATTATGCTAGAATCTGAGGATGAATATTTGCTTTACAGATCAGTATACTTGACGTAATTTTTAAATAGGGTAGATGAAACGTGAGGCTGTCACGCTTAGTTCTGTCGATATAATCTAGAAGGTCAGTGCAGGTAGCGAGGATATTAAACAAGACAGCTAGCTGTGGAATAAGAGGGATACAGCTACCTGAACAATACAAGCAGAACTTCGTAATTTCCAAGCGAAGACCCTATACTAACTTCCTACTTCTTCATTAAATTATAGTGAAGCGTTAACCCTTGCGAACCTCGCTTCATAAACGCCGTGAAAAATTATGTGATTTATATTCTTTCAGAAGAATAAGAATAGTAACCATTTGATGGAACTATTCCCTGAGCTTAAGTTAATAAAGTACGATTAATTTGCGACAGAACCTTTGGCTTTGTAATTTAACCTTTATAGGTTACAAAAAAGCATTAAAGTTATTAAAATTCAAACGAAGGGTCTTCTCTCGAAACGTTGAAGTCCTGCATATATTTTTCTTAGTTCTGTCGAACCTTTGTCGATTTCATTCCTGCAATATCCAGTTATCTGATTAGGATTTCACGTGAGTGAAGATTGCTTTCAGCTAGATTCCTTCCGTGGCAACACTGGATCAATATGGGCTTGGTACTCCAGGAAGAGGAGTTCAAACGTGGAAATATTTTCGTCCTTTTTCGGGTGTTCAGATACAAACCACGGCTGTTATTTTTAAAAGTGCATGCTCATCAGCATAGTAAGGGCCGGAAATTTAGGGCCTTGTTTATGAACACAATTACACAAGTCAACGTTCGCAGGGAACACAACCATCGCAGAAGCAAAACAAACGCACTATATATACTGAAGTCCTGATCAAACGAAAATGAGAGTTGAATAAGATCAGAGTTGTATGAGAGTTGACTGGATATTGTCGGCCAAATGAGCGAAAACTCTCATTTAATTTGAATCTCATCAAAATTTAACCAGCTCAAAGTTGATGAGAGTCCATGAGAGTTAGCGGTCAAATATGAATGAGAGTTACAACTCTCATTAATTCTTATCCTGTCTCTGCACTGTTTGAAAGAGATGTAAAAAAACTTCAGAAACTTTTCAGGTAGTTCAGACAACAACCACGACAGCTTACGTGTGCAGAAGTCACTTGTAGAATATAGGGCGCTTTCCATTGACACGATCAGAACGGTCACTGAAATTGTTGAATGGACCACAAAACATTTGGGCTTTGGATCTATCTGACCGGTAAATTTATAGATAACATTAGAATGAGGTCCATTTTCGCTAGATATTTGAGAAACATAGACCAGTTCTTTCCATTGATGCAGAGAAGAGAATTCGGGCCTGATCGGTCAGGCCATTAAATGGAAAGCGCCCATAGAGTGTGGCTTCACAAAGTGAGAGATTGCAGCTGACAACTCTAAAAGAAAAGAGTCGTATCAAAGCGACTATATTGTTCACAATATGTATACTGACCTGCATATGCTGATAAATACATGAAATGTCCCATAATTTGCTTTGCATTCGGATACGAAATGATCAGCATTTTTCAACATCACAAGCATTGAATTTATTATTTTCGTGCTATATTTTTTGCTGTTTCTGTTTTATTTGATTCAAGTCAAACGTTAACAAAGACACAAAGAAAACTTGGGAAGTTTCTTACGAAAATTGAGTCCTATAACGTACATTGCAGGCCAGACGCCTCCTCGAAACTGGCCAGTTATTTTCCTATGACCACTTGTTGGTTTTTGAGTGCTTTGGGAAATGTTCTTTATGGGGCTTTAAACTTATTTTTAAAAACAGGCAGTAAGCGAAATTGACGAGTATTGTAATTCCTTAGTTGTAAGCGTTTTGGGGCGTGTGAATATTGAAACGTAATCACAACAAAAATGCACTTATTTTGCTCTGCGTAATATCTTGCTAAGCGCAAAACCCTTGACTATGAATGTATAATTCCCATGCTCAGATACCGTCACATTTTAAGAGGGAAACGTCATTTTTGCACCGCCTATATGGGTGAATCACTAATTAACCCGGTATTTGCGTATGAATAATTAATCAGATTTGCGTATATTTCGCGAACGCTGATTGGCCGAGGGGAACAATTAAAATTACCGCCAGCCAATCGGAGCGCTCGTCAGTGGCGGACCATTTGAAGTTCCCAACCGCCATATTGGAAATTCTTCGTGTTTGAAGAGACGGTCGGGTTTGAAAATAAAAGTGATTTTGTGGCCCTTGACGTTCACTTCACACCGACACAGAAGACAAGTTGGACATGACTAAAATGGCAAGATCCCTAAGGTAGGAATGTCGTTGTTTTTCATTCAAACGGTTTTTCCTACAACGGTACGATTTCAACGAAAATTTGTAATGTATATTTTATGTGTGGTACTATATTTGAAGAAGATGGCTCGTGGTGTTATTACATTATTTGACCAAATTGCTTAATATTATGGCATTGATCTGTATTTTTACAGCCTTAGGGATATTGAAGTTTAAAATTTGTGAATCTGCGAGCGATCGGGTCGAAAATCGTGTAAAATTTGACAATATCGCATGTATGATTGCTTTACTTTGGCGCCTTTCATTTGTTTATAGACCTCGCTGTCTGTGATGTGATCTCTATATATTTGACCGAGATTAGGTCTTTACATATTTTAAAAGTATCTAGGATCGTTTCTTGTTTAACGATCGTACGAAGGCAAGCATTTTGTATGTGAGAAAATGTCAAATTTTATACACGTAGTTTGTATTTTGTTTTGTTGCCCAATTTGCTACTCGCATGTGATGTTGATGTCATTAAATTCTGATAATGCATAACGAAAGGTTGTTTACAGGGGAAACGAAGAGCATGAGTTAGTGCAATATAAGTTAAAATAACACGAATCTGTATTGCATATTTGTACATGAAAGTTTTAGGGTTTTCTTTTGTGTAAATAACAGTGGGTTACAGTATTACTGGATAGCAGTGTTAACATGAAAAGATGAAATGAATTGACATGGTTTTGCACTCTGAAAATTGCCAGTCGACCACCATCTGTTGCACAATTGTGCTTGGTGAAACCTAGCTGTTATCGGTCTGTGAGGCTGGAGAAAATTGCTGTCCTTTTGAAAGGTTCAGCGTCTACAACAATCCAAACTCTACCCTCTATTTTTTCCAGTGAAAATGAATCAGATATTGGCTACCGGTCATCAGCAAGCGACCAGGAAAGCTTTTGCAGTTTATTTGAAAATAAATCAAAGAAGATCAACAAAGGCCGTTGGACAAAAGAGGAGGTACTTGTCAAAAAATTGTTGAAATGTTTAAATTTTGTGTGTTTGGCGATGGTCCATGGTGTGATTGTTGAAATACCATGGGTATTTAATACCATGGGTAGCAGATTTCACCTGCCGGTGAATTTATTAATAGGTTGACCGTTGATAAAACCGTTAAGAATGTTGTTCCAGTAACACTTAGATTTAAAATTTGGAGATACACCATTGGTCAATATGTTAAATGTAAACAAACATGATCAACGGTTCTTGTCTGTGCTTTTAATGTTTTCATTCTGTCTGTTGACGAGAACTGTGGCGGTCACTTTGTGAAAAATTGGAGGGTGAATTGGGTGGTCAATGCATGACCACCTTTTCTTGCTGAGAATCCTAATTCTTTAAACTTTTTTGCCTTCAATATCTTGCAATATATATAGCTTAATCTATACTATAACCTACCAATGAAAGAAAGCTAAAAGCTTTGGATTGATAGGGATACAACGACCTAAAAATACAAGAAGAATGTCTGAAGTTCTCCTTGTATTTTTCAGTTAGTTGTATCCCTATCAAACCAAAGCTTTCTTATAATTGCTACTATACATACACTGGCACAAACCGACCGTTGAAGATGATACCAATGCAAGACTTTCATGGTTGCAAAATTATTGTCACAGCTTTGCTAGACAGTTACTCAGCTACTAGGCATTTGGAAATTACTGGGGTGGGGGAGGGGCAACCGCTGGGGTCTGTACTGAATCCATGAGAAGCATTAGCTGAAGTTGCTTGTGTTGTAGGATGTTTTGCTTACAGTAGTAATTGCCCACCTATGTGATATTCGTATGTTCCAACTAATTTTGGAAATGGAAAGAGTCTTGTGTTGGAATGTAGGTAGCAATAAATGATATTTATATTACAGGTATAGTTGACAGGGTTCAAAATAATATTTCATGATATGCTCTGGTCACCATGACCATCTTTTCCCATTTTTCACTGGTCAAACACGATTTCTGACTGTACATGACAACACCCACCAAGAGAACAAACATACTGATGTTGCTTGATCTTTGAGGAAGCATTCTTGGCACCAACATTCCAATGACCAGTCATTTTGAGCTGAATGTTGTATAAATATGACCCGCGGTTAATAATGAGCCTTGACAGGATCTAATTACCTGTAAAATATAAAACGTGTTTCCAGAGCCCAGAGAACGTATTTCCAGAGCTCATTCAACAAAGCTAGCTTGTAAATATTTGCAGAAGTTTGTCAGACAGTATGGATGCTTTCCATTTTGTCTGTGGCATATTAGCCTAATGTTACCGCGGTTATAAGTAGTGTAATTATAACTGTACAAATTGTCAAAAGACGTGAATTGTCCGAAGAAGCTGTGCAAGTTTTAAGAGTCTCACAAACGTACCCAGACAAACCGACTACCAACTGAGTACTTTAGGTTTATCACATGTCACATAGTATATCAATTCAAAATTTTTACTCTAATCTACTTGTTTAGTCTTCAAATCTTATAAAAAAGTTATTTTGAATGTCTAACAATTAAACTTGTAGTGCGCAACTTAAAGTTGACAGTGAGTTTATTTTACCCCTGGCAAGGAAACGTGACATTATCAATGGTCGAAATTGCAAAATGTTAATTTTGAAGTACCATGTTCATAACGCTGTGACGGCCTAATTAAGGGCCGCCTTTGTATGGCTAATCATTATAAGCCGACTACTGTTTGACAATGCAGCATAGTCAGAAAATGATTTACAATTTGAACGAAATGTAACGGTTGTATTGCTTAACTGGCTGCATTTTACCCAATGAGATCAGACCAGTGGTTATTTTAAAACTTCAAAGTGTAAAATGTGCTCGAAAACGTGAAATCAATATTTTTTTTATATTACTTGTTGGAATATTGAAATTGTTTGTTTTTTAACAGAATATTGTCTCACTTTTGAATTCGAACCTGTAAAGTATAAGGATTTATATTCTCAAAAACGTAGCACCACCATCTAAGTGTCTAAAGACCGATTTACCGAACACTACACAACTTTTGCCTAAAACTGTCGCATGCAACCTGCTTACAACTTGAGTTGTACTGTGTAAATCAAGCACACAACTTGCCTATGTTGTCGTAGGTGAGTTGTGTGCTTGAATTACACAGTACAACTCAAGTTGTAAGCAGGTTGCATGCGACAGTTTTAGGCAAAAGTTTTGTAGTGTTCGGTAAATCGTCCTTAAAATCATGTCAAGGATAGAACGATGGTTCGGACGTCGCTGTTGAAAACCAGGCTTAAATCGTGAACATTCTGCGCAACGGTATTGTGGTTTGCAGAGCAAACTAGACTGATGCGTGCCTATATGCTATTCTTACTAATCTGTCAGAAGCAACCGAAACATTGCGCCAAAATTTAAAGAATTTGGCAGGTGCGGTCAATTTGGGTGTGTATCGAAAATTCGCGCATTCCGTTTGTTTGTTTATATGTCTAAGTTGTCACTCATTCTCAAACAACACAACGCCAAGCTTGCCCGTGTTTCCTCTGTGTACTCATGAAAATACTGATGGGGCCAAGTCCTATCGTGACGTCATATGATTACGTCATTTCCATTGTTGTTTTCTTGGCTTACTAGATGAAAGCCCTTGGCTTGGCTTTGTACCTTTTTGACAGGCTTATATAGTATTCATCAAAACACTCGTAAACTTGGCTATTGTGATCTGTGATATACGTATTTCGTAACGCCTGGTTGATACTATCAAAGTTTCTGTGATCACAGTAGGAATTTTGCATGCATGCATGGGTGAATTATTCTAAGTTTTGAAGGATTTGTAAGAAATGTTTGAGGAAACTGACACTGAGGACATATTTTTTCATGAAAATCTAATCTTGTTCGCGCGATCAATTTCCATTCATTTCAATAACATGGTATAAATCACCCCTTTAATTACAAGATGTTATATATATATGGACTTCAATAATTTGGATTCTTGCACATTTGGTTACAGCTGAACAGCTGGCCTCTGTAGCTCAGTTGGTTAGAGCGCTGCACCGGAATCGCAGGGCCGTAGGTTCAATTCCTACCAGAGGACCTTGTGCTGCATTTTTCGCAGTCGTTCCTATATATATATATATATATATATATATATGCTATATGCTATTTCATTACAAAGGTGGGACAGCCATACAGGTGTTTTAGTCATAAAGGAAGCTTCTTTTGTACTCAAGACGATGATTGGGCAATTTCGTGTTGTATTTTAATGTTTATCCAAGAGGTTGTGTACTTATGATTGCGTGCACGCTTCTGAATGGGGAAGTAATCTGGATAATAGCAAGTATATATACACCGCTTGTCAAAATGTCGAGAGCGCCAAGCCTAGTTACTTCAACAAACTGTTGTGATATGCGTGAGAAATACGTTTTGCTGGCTCACAGCTCTAGAAATAGATCCAATACGTCGGTTTGAGCACGATCGTTCAGCAGATATGCATGATGGTAAAGATATGTTATTTTTTTTTTTTAAATTTTTATTAACTTTACAATCATATTATATAAAAAATACAGGTACAGCTATGATTGAAGGATTAGGCAACAGAACTAGAATCCCATACTACAAACCGGACAACGTAATACTGATTTTACAGGCCTTTACACTATATAAAACATGCAAGAATAAATACATAACTATATGCACTACTGTGCAGGGTGTGATCATTCAAGATTTCTAGTACGTCAATGGTTGTTGCCGCGTACTTGCGCTAGAACAAACTCAGTACTCAATGTGCACTTATAGTCTTTACAATAAGGTTCATAAAGTACAGGTTTCTGAAGAGGAGTTTTGCTATTTGAAAAGGGAGTTTTGCTATTTGAAAAGGGCTAGTACGTCAATGGTTGTTGCCGCGTACTTGCGCTAGAACAAACTCAGTACTCAATGTGCACTTATAGTCTTTACAATAAGGTTCATAAAGTACAGGTTTCTGAAGAGGAGTTTTGCTATTTGAAAAGGGAGTTTTGCTATTTGAAAAGAAAGTTTTTTCGGCCCAAATGTGGTAGCAATTTCCGCACGCAATACAAAAGTATACAAAATTTGCAAACTTTGCAAGGCTATATTTTCCGCATCAGTTTACAACATTTCGCAACCAAACTTCCCAATTTTACTCATTTTAGTATGCTCTATCTAGCTGTGGTGATTTATTTGCATCTCCTTGCCTAGTTTTGAAATTAGTGTATTAATTATATCTTGTGTAGAGTGTCCAAAATCCTGCTACATCATGACTCAATGTTTTTATTGATATTGATTGACTATACCAAGTATCACAGTGATAGCGAGAACCGAAGCTTCCCAAAAATTCTATGCAAGAACGAGTTTTGTCCAAAAACATGTACAAGTGCCTTCATTTACATTTTTAATTGTCGAGTGTTTTCACACAAGGATGACGTCACGCCAATAATATATATTTAATCTGTAAACATGTTGAGATGTAAAACTTCCGTTAAAAATGCACGCGAGAGAGAGTTCTCTCGAAAATTAATTACATTCTTTATGATTGTTGAGTTGTTTTTACCGAGAAAATCTTGATATTATATAAATCTGATATTTGAGGAAATATGTCAAATGTAGAAATGATGATATAATTTTGATCTACATAAATACCATTATTGATACATAACATTCACATATACATGACATATATTTGAAAATTAAGGAACCTGGTTACTTCAAATTGCGAACGTAAGGAGCCATTATAGATCTATAGTATTCTACAATAAGCTGCCTATAGGTGGCTGTTTGGACTTCGTACCTGAAAAAAAAAGGATTAAAAACACTTGAAAGGCAAGCTCTTCCGGTTCTGGCTAGATATTCCGCTTAAAAACTGTTTTAATTTGTAGTTCTCAAAGAAAATTACACGGATTGTTTTTCCTCGAATTGCTAATTGAAGAAAAACATTAAATTTACTATTATGCTGATCAGGTACTATATAAAGCCGGGTGATTGTGGCACAGTTAGTTACAACCCAGGTTGGCAATCTTACCAAGATCCAGAAAGTTCAAGATCTTATCTAAATCCCAAAAGATCTTGCCAAGATCCTGCATGCAACACCTTGCCAAGACCTTCAACCTGGGAAGTGTGCAAGGATTTTTCCAGTTGTCAAAGCAGTATCCGCTCCACGTGATTTTCGGAGCCGGCTTGTAACGTCAGGACGTTTTGAAGAGTGCATTTTGAATTTGAAGCCAACCAACACCTCTTCCAAAAATATTTTAGTATCTTGGTTTTTCCGCTTTGCTTTTGCCAGTCAATATATTTAATGGTAAAAGTCACGGTTCTTGCATTTCAATTGGCACGCTTTCGTTTCCTACACTTGAGTGTTCATGGATTAAAGATTCTTTATAGTTCCAATATGGCTTCATTACTTATATGGTTTGCTTTGCATGTAAACTTAAGTGGGAGCCTCTCTAATTACGATATGCCTTTACAAAGGCATTCACGCGAGTTATATATTCCTCGTGTTTGGTTGATTTGAATAGTAATATAGCTTCAGCTTTTATAAACTCACAAAATTTCCCATGTGTAATTCTTTGAGGAACGAGAATGCAATTGATTGCCGCATTGTTAGTGTTTCATTCCTGCAATATGCATGCGGCTGTCAGATTATAATTTCAGTGATGATCTTTACTGGACCTTTAGGGAGAACAGTTTAGAACTGATAGATCTATATCCAGTATAAATAAAGTTAGTTTAGGTGTCTTCCTGTAGTAACACTAAGTTGGCAAGGCCCTCATCGGATGCAGTGCATTTCAGAGCATTGTAGCCGGAATGGCAAATTCTCGCCGTTTCATAACTCACACTGTAGTTTAGATTCCCACAAACTCTTGGAAGGATTTTGGCACAAAGCAAAAGATCTCTTGTATATTAAAGCGAGGGAAACTCTACCACAACTACCTACGCTGGGAACTAACTGCGTATAAGGTTCTAGTTCGGTCGTCTTTGACGTCAGCGCGAGTAGAAATATTTGGGAAATGCGTGTGTGAAATTGTAATCATATAGGGTGAATGTATATGGATTTCTGGTATATGCATGAGTTGTTAATGAGATCTTTCCGTGTAAAGATCAAGAAAATATGGTATATACATTTCTAATACTTAGGACTTAGGCTGATGTTATTTATAAAGTATACAGTAGTTTTGTCATAATGCTATAACTGTGTTTCGCTATGGCTTTTACAGGATGATAAATTAAAAAATCTGGCAGAGATTGAAGGGCAAGAGGACTGGGAGAAGATCGCGAGTTATTTCGACGACCGAAGCGAACATCAATGTCTACATCGCTGGGAGAAAGTTTTGAATCCAGAGCTTGTGAAAGGCGCTTGGACGAAAGAGGTATGTTCACGTTCGTCGTCCTATGATAATGCTTTTTCATTATGTTATCTAACATGTCATGTTTTCTATCAGTTCTAAACTGTTCTCCTTAGAGGTCCAGTAAGGATCATCTCTTATTGATCCAGTGTTACTACAGAAGGAAACCTAAACTAACTTTATTTATACTGGATAAACATGTCATGTTTTCTATCAGTTCTAAACTGTTCTCCTTAGAGGTCCAGTAAGGATCATCTCTTATTGATCCAGTGTTACTACAGAAGGAAACCTAAACTAACTTTATTTATACTGGATAGGCTCTATCAGTTCTAAACTGTTCTCCCTAGAGGTCCAGTAAGCAGTTCTCCCTACAGTAAGAGTCATCCCTTGTTCGTCCAGTGTTACTATGCAAGCACTCACAAGTGAATTTAAATTAATCTATATCTTGGTCACAGCAGCGAATGTCACATACACCCAATTGATATGGAGTTATTCATTTGCGTTTATATTTTCACCATCTAGGAGGACGAGCAGGTCGTTGTGCTGGTGCGAAGGTTTGGACCCAAACGATGGTCGACAATCGCGCAACATTTACCTGGGAGGATTGGGAAGCAGTGTAGAGAAAGGTTGGTTGATTAGGGCGATTGCTATAGATAGTATACTTCAAAATAAGGTTTCCGTTTTTATATCAATTTTTAAAATAGGTTAGGGTTAGGTTAAGGTTAGGGGTAGTATTAGGGTTAGGGTTTAGTTTTGCGTTAGGATAGTTTTTTCTACGTTATAAAAACGGAAACCTTATTTTGAGGTATACTATCTACTGTAGCAATCACCGGTTGATTAGCCCGGCTCAAGGTCTTAAAATAATTGAGGAGACAGAGCTACCCTTACATTGACATCAGTAAATACGTTTATATTGACTAAATGCGTTTATATATTTCAAATGTATAAATCCAAGTTTACTGTATAGTAAAATAGACAAGTTTAAAAATAATAAAAATGCATATCATGAAAACATTGATTTTTACAATATGACTCCTATGAAACATCGCCATTTTGGCAGTTCAATGAATAAAAATGACAGGCTAAAACTTATTTCACCTGCCAAAAAAATTTAAATTGGCAGGCCATATTTTTTCCCTTCTTCGAGCCCTGATCCCCTATCAATTTGGCGATAGCTGTTGGGAAATCCGCTCCCCAATAGACCTTTCCCCCTTTTAAGTGAAATTTTGATCTAGATAAGTCTGGACAAAAATTTCATCACAGCTTGAAAGAGCATCACAAAATTAGTAATATTCCAAAGTTTCGTTGCGAAATGTTGTAAAATGTGGATAATATAGCCTTGAGAAGTTTGCCGTTTTTCAGTCATTTGGTATTACAAACGGGAAATTTGATGCAAAATGTTAGATTGTAATGCAAAATGACTGAAAAACGGCAAACTTCACAAGGCTATATTATCCGCATTTTACAACATTTCGCAACGAAACTTTGGAAATTACTAATTTTGCGATGCTCTTTCAAGCTGTGATGAATCAAATTTTTGTCCAGACTTGTCTAGATCAAAATTTCACTTAAAAGGGGAAAGATCTATTACTGAGTGAGAAACTCAATAAACAACGAATAAACATACCGTTGCAGTATATTTTCTCACTCCATGTGAAGAAACAAATTTGGACAGAAAGATAAAACTCTGCAGTAGTATTTCTACATTTAGGAGAAATGTTTTTTAGCAATCTTTGAACTTTCCCTCGTATAATTCCTAAATATTTCTCATAGTTATGTAGTATATGCATGTCTTCCTTGTAAATTTGTTTATTTAGTTCAGGACCTTTCTGAAAATCACTTTGTGAGAAAGAGCTTCCTGAAAATAAATATTATTAAAAAGAAGAAACTCAAACTAAACTAAATTCTTCTAGGTGGCACAATCATCTAAATCCGGCGATCAAGAAAACAGCTTGGACGGAGGAGGAGGATAAGATTATTTACAACGCGCATTCAAGAATGGGCAACAAGTGGGCCGAGATTGCAAAAATGGTGCCCGGGAGGACCGACAATGCGATAAAAAATCACTGGAACTCCACGATGAAGAAACGCGTTGAAACGCAGGGTTACGAGGAGTACAAAGAAAATAGATATAGAACAGTAAGTCTGTGGCTCCCCTTCGGAAAGGTCAAATGATAGTCAAAATTTGACTCAAACTTAACGGTTCGTTTTCTTTTTCTTTCAAAGGGGAAATACTATAACAAATCTTCGAGGCAAAAGGGTAAGCTTTGTAAAGTCGTCAGGCAATAGTGAGAGTGAAATACTAAAGTTAGGAACGTGATGTATCAGTGATTGTCATAGACGAAATAGTGATCGTAACTTATTTTTATTTTAGAAAAACGTAGGCCCCACTGGTCTCATTATCAAGTCTCTCGCGTGGATTGCGCTATGCAGCAGTTTCAGCCACAGAGCCTCACTGAGATTCTACCCACTATGGCAAGAGAGACAACTCAACCGATAGAGACTTCATTAAGCGATTATAAGAACAACAATAATCAGAGGTTTGTTTGATAAAGTTATCCAGTATAAATAAAGTTAGTTTAGTTTAGGTTTCCTCCTGTAGTAACACTGGATCAATAAGAGATGATCATTACTGGACCTCTAGGAAGAACAGTTTAGAACTGATAGAGCTATCCAGTATAAATAAAGTTAGTTTAGTTTAGGTTTCCTCCTGTAGTAACACTGGATCAATAAGAGATGATCATTACTGGACCTCTAGGAAGAACAGTTTAGAACTGATAGAACTATCCAGTATAAATAAAGTTAGTTTAGTTTAGGTTTCCTCCTGTAGTAACACTGGATCAATAAGAGATGATCTTTACTACACCTCTAGGAAGAACAGTTTACAACTGATAAAGTTATCCAGTATAAATAAAGTTAGTTTAGTTTAGGTTTCCCCCTGTAGTAACACTGGATCAATAAGAGATGATCTTTACTACACCTCTAGGAAGAACAGTTTACAACTGATAAAGTTATCCAGTATAAATAAAGTTAGTTTAGTTTAGGTTTCCCCCTGTAGTAACACTGGATCAATAAGAGATGATCATTACTGGACCTCTAGGAAGAACAGTTTACAACTGATAAAGTTATCCAGTATAAATAAAGTTAGTTTAGTTTAGGTTTCCCCCTGTAGTAACACTGGATCAATAAGAGATGATCTTTACTACACCTCTAGGAAGAACAGTAGTTTACAACTGATAAAGTTATCCAGTATAAATAAAGTTAGTTTAGTTTAGGTTTCCCCCTGTAGTAACACTGGATCAATAAGAGATGATCTTTACTACACCTCTAGGAAGAACAGTTTACAACTGATAAAGTTATCCAGTATAAATAAAGTTAGTTTAGTTTAGGTTTCCCCCTGTAGTAACACTGGATCAATAAGAGATGATCTTTACTCTCTAGGAAGAACAGTTTAGAACTGATAGAGCTATCCAGTATAAATAAAGTTAGTTTAGTTTAGGTTTCCTCCTGTAGTAACACTGGAGACAATAAGAGTCTGATCCTTACTGAATCTCTAGGAAAAATAGTTTATAACTGATAGAGCTATCCAGTATATTATTGGTGCAACAATTAATTTTAATCATGACTTCATTCAGCTGTAGAACCACCAACGCCCCACCAAACAGCCAAGCGTGTCAGACGACCAACGCGGACGACATGTTATCGCCGTTAAGAACAATCACGGACGATCTCAAGGATCTTTTTGACCTTGATCAACAATCCTGGTCTGGAGTAAGCGGCTTTGAAAGTAATGCTACATGTAGTCCCGACCTGCAATCCGTTAAAGGAAATGGCAAATGGAATTCTCCTGGAACTATTGGTATGTTTGCGTATGTTGGGGGCGTTTAGGGGTATTGGTGGAACAGTGCACGTGTCTTCGAAATCTGTGATTCGGGTTTCATTCCTGAATAGTGAATACGCAGTTGTCTCGATATGATTTCACCACAGTCTCATGTGAGAAGACCAGTTTACTATATATCTTTAGTAATATTCGTATTTCTTCTTGTAGTAACACTGGATCAATAAGAGATGATCCTTACTGGAGCTCTAGGGAGAACAGTTTAGAACTGATAGAACTATCCAGTATAAATAATGTTAGTTTAGTCTAGGTTTCCTCCTGTAGTAACACTAAATCAATAAGAGATCATCCTTACTGGACCTCTAGGAAGAACAGTTTAGAACTGATATATCTATCCAGTATAAATAAAGTTTGTTTAGGTTTCCTCCTGTAGTAACACTGGATCGATAAGAGATGACTCTTACTGGATCTCTAGGAAGAACAGTTTAGAACTGAAAGATCTATCCAGTATAAATAAAGTTAGCTTTTAATTCATGGATTACATGTTTTTTTCTTAGGTTGTCGATTCGACGGAAAAGCAATAGCCTCTCTTGGCAACGGAAAAGGGTATTATATTATTATATATTAATTAACATATTTAGACAGGTTGACTTCTTCAGGCAGTGTACCGCCTGCTATCAATGAAGGACCTGTATTTATGCTAAAATTAATTAAGTATTTAACTAAGATTGTTTTCTTATGACATAGAATGTACAAAACATGATCACTAAACATACATTAACAATAGTACGAAAATGTTCACAATTACGGCGAACTAAAGTTAAAAGATTCAACTTTTCTTTTAAAGTTAATATACGAGTTCTCATACAACTAACATTTTGTTTAATGTGGAGTCCGTCTGAACTCAAGTTGTTCTTCCATTTTAGATCTCTGATACCGATCACCTCGCCTCTTGTTACGAACCGTTTTCGCACTCCTCCAGCTATATTACGGAAAGGCAAGAAAAGACGAGTATCCTTTACATCGCATGTCTTTTTCGAGTTTAGTTTAGGTTTCTTCCTGTAGTAATACTGAATGAATAAGTGATGATCCTTACTGGACCTCTAGGGAGAACAGTTTAGAACTGATAGAGCTATCCAGTATAAATAAAGTTAGTTTAGTTTAGGTTTCCTCCTGTAGTAACACTGGATCAATAAGAGATGATCCTTACTGGATCTCTTAGGAAGAACTGTTTAGAACTGATAGAGCTATCCAGTATAAATAAAGTTAGTTTAGTTTAGGTTTCCTCCTGTAGTAACACTGGATCAATAAGAGATGATCCTTACTGGATCTCTTAGGAAGAACTGTTTAGAACTGATAGAGCTATCCAGTATAAATAAAGTTAGTTTAGTTTAGGTTTCCTCCTGTAGTAACACTGGATCAATAAGAGATGATCCTAACTGGATCTCTTAGGAAGAACTGTTTAGAACTGATAGAGCTATCCAGTATAAATAAAGTTAGTTTAGTTTAGGTTTCCTCCTGTAGTAACACTGGATCAATAAGAGATGATCCTAACTGGATCTCTTAGGAAGAACTGTTTAGAACTGATAGAGCTATCCAGTTTTAAATAAAGTTAGTTTAGTTTAGGTTTCCTCCTGTAGTAACACTGGATCAATAAGAGATGATCCTAACTGGTTATTAAAGCTGGTTAGAAATGATTTGTGTTGTTTCTGTCCTTAACCTTCATTCCCCAGCGTGATGACTGCTGTAATGCATCCAATACTTCGCTAAATTCAACATCCTCCTCTCTGAACTCAACCTCGGAGCCCACGCCCCAGAGTACCCCGATAAAATCCCTGCCATTCTCCCCCTCTCAATTTTTCAACAGTCCAATCACAGCGAGGGGCGTGACCTCCATTTGTACCTCTACCCCCTGTTCGTCTCGCCCCTCCCTCACGTCGACTCCCGTCTATGGCCGAGATTGTCTGAACACGCCCAAGATTGAGACGTCTAGTACATTCAGGACTCCTAAAATTAGACGATCATTGCTCAACAGTCCTCGCACACCTACACCGTTCAAAGAAGCGATGGCTACTTTTCAATCTTCGTCTATGGTAAGCATAAACTGGGAAGAGATTATTTCGCTGGCCTCAGAGTGACAAAACGTAACAAAGCAACGGTTTTACTAACACTAACCGTACTCCAAACACCAACTCTAATCCTAACCCTAACCTAACCTAACCCTACTTCAAATTTGTTTCTAAACCAATCTTGAAGAAAAAAGTTTTGACGAAATGTGATTCTGAGGTTAGCGAAATAGTTGATGCAGTGCTTTATCATTGTGTGCTTGATTTACACAGTACAACTCAAGTTGTAAGCAGGTTGCATGAGACAGTTTTAGGCAAAAGTTGTGTAGTGTCGTAGGTGAGTTGTGTGCTTGATTTACACAGTACAACTCAAGTTGTAAGCAGGTTGCATGAGACAGTTTTAGGCAAAAGTTGTGTAGTGTAAATCGTTATTCAGATGGGTCGTTTACAACGTATACGACCCTTAGCGTTTACAATCTATTTCGCAGGCATTGATTTTGTTTGTGTTGCAGGCAATGAACGGTCATTTGGAACAAGACATCACGGAAATCCTCGAACGAGGCGAGGCCGAAGCTGCGCAAGAAATAATTCCGTCGCTGCATGACAACTGTTCAGCGGTCAACATACATCAATCTTTAGAGGAAAGTTATCAAGCAGGTTTACCGCAAAGTATGTCGGGAACGTTCATGACCACGAATCAACCAATCATGTCCTCGAGTGAGCTTGCAACGTCATCAGCATCCGCTCACGTGGTATGTCCGTGCAGAACTAGGAATAGAATGTCTTGTATTTAGTCCTCATCTCTGATTATAATTTCACCTCAGTTACATATGAGACGACTGCTAATTTTTTTGTCGGGTTTCTCCTGTAGAAATACCAGACCCCTTGCTGGACTCGAGAGAGAGAGCTATCCAGTCTAAATATAGTTAGTATCCAGTCTAAAATTGATAGTTAGTTTTCGTTTCCTCCTGTAGTAACACTGGATCAATAAGAGATGATCCTTACTGGACCTCTAGGAAGAGCAGTTTAGAACTGATAGAGCTATCCAGTATAAATATAGTTAGTTTAGTTTACGTTTCCTCCTGTAGTAACACTGGATCAATAAGAGATGATCTTTACTGGACCTCTAAGAAGGACAGTTTGGAACTGATAGAGCTATCCAGTATAAATATAGTTAGTTTAGTTTAGGTTTCCTCCTGTAGTAAACACTGGATCAATAAGAGAATTATCCTTCCTGGACCTCTAGGAAGAACGGTTTAGGACTGATAGAGCTATCCAGTATAAATAAAGTTTAGTTTAGGTTTCCTCCTGTAGTAACACTGAATCAATAAGAGATGACCCTTACTGGAACTCTAGGAAGAACAGTTTAGAACTGATAGAGCTATCCAGTATAAAAACTCCTCTTTTGTTTTATTTTGTGTTTAGGAATTAGAGAACAATGGCCTGGATGGTTCCTACATGTCACCGCTCTCTTCGTCGGCAGTCAAACCGCACGAGGTGTTTGGTGTGGGAGATCAATATGTCACTCCGAGTAAAACTCTGGGTGGAAATTTTATTGATCCGTACAGTCAAATGTTGAGTCTGGTCGCAGCAATAGAATGTAGTCCTGTTCAGGTAGGCTGGATGAAGGCTTTGAAGGCTGGTGTTTATACTATCAAAGTTTCTGTGATCACAGTAGGAATTTTGCATGAAGTTTTGAAAGATTTGTAAACGTTTGAGGCAGTGGTGGATCCTGCAGTTGGGTTTTTTTTTGGGGGGGGGGTTGCTAACCAATGGCGAAACGAGCGCCGAAGGCGCGAGATTTCAAGGGTGGTCCTGGGCCATGCTCCCCCGGAAAATTTTTAAAATTTGGGTCTCTGAAATGGCATTTCCAGCATTCTGAGAAAACATTCAGGAAAATTTTTAGATTCTCAAAACATTTAAAAATTCAGAATATTTAATATTGGCTATTCCGCTATTGTCAACTAGTGATGCGCAACTGAATTCCTTAACATAAGTTGGTTAGAATTAGGATAAACGTCATTTTTGCAACCCCCCATGCTCCCCTGTTGACCAGAGCCTGGGGGGGTGCGACCTCCCCCGCCCCCCCCCCACCCTAAATCCACCACTGGTTTGAGGGATAGTTAAAGGCACAGTTCAGCCTTTTGAATGATGGTTTAAAGGCGCATTTCAGCTCTATGAAAATCAATTATGCATAATTGAAGATCAGTAAACTCGATGTTTTTGACCGCAATAAAAATGTTTTAAAATATTAAAAACATCACGTTTGCTGATCTTGAATTATGCTTAATTGATTTCCTAGTTAGTTTTTTCAATTAAAAGGGCTGAAATGCGCCTTGAAAAACCATGTTAGTGTGAACTGTCACCCGCGAACAGGCTGCGAGGGAGACTGTCAAAAGGCTGAACTGTGCGTTTAAATTAATGAAATAAGCCTTTGTCAAACGAGAGTTGATGACAGTTGGCAGTCATGTGGGGGACGTTTTCAGCTCTAGTAGATTAATATTACAATTTTACTTTTGTAGGAAATTCCACAGAAATTCTCGACAGTGCCAAATTTTTTATTGTTTGAAACTCCGACGGGAAACAGAACTATTTTACAAAAGGTACTAAGACCCGTTTACAGCAGTGACCTGCATATATATATATATATATATATATATATATATATATATATATATATATATATATATATATATATATATATATATATATATATATATATATATATATATATATATATATATATATATATATATATATATGTCTGGAGCAAGAACTTCAGTCATTCTGCCTATGAGAACAGTGAAGCCAAGATGGCGCCATTGTCGTCCAATAGCTCTGAAGGTCGTAAATAGTTTTTATACAATTTTCCACAACTTATTCTAGTTTTTTTCTAACGGACTGTATCGCTACAGGGTGTTAGCTAGCCCGTATACTGTCCGTTTGACGGACTCTTCCCAATTGAAGTAGTTAAGGGGCTGGATCTACTGGAAGATTTTCATTTTTTCTGATGAGAAAGTGCATTGCGTTTGATTTTATATTATTATATCAAAGAACGTTTTATTTATTTTTTCCCATTAACTATTTTCTCAAAATGTATCACGTTTCATTCATATTGGGTGTGTATTCACTGAAATGAAATGTATAAAACAAAGTGTAATCGGTGTGCATCCGTGTTCATTCACCGGAAATGAAATGTACAAAACCAAGCTACCGTTGTTTGCATCTAAGGAGAAACACGTTGGAAAAAAACACTATTTATTCCTACATAAGGACTTTGATCGGTCAAAAAAGCTTTCCCAATTTACGTTTAACAGACTTTTTTCTGGCTAACACCCTGCGCTAATCACGTTTTCAGTTCATGAAATCATAATATTAAGCCCAGGTCACACTACACAACGATAACGATGCGATAACTTGTATACGCTCGCTGATTGGTCAAAAATTTATCGTTATCGTTCCACTGAAAAGAAAATCGCTCAGGTGAGCGATTTTAAAATCGTTATCGTTATCGTCAAACGATAATTTTATCATTTTCGTTGTAGTGTTGACACTAACACAATTTTTTTGCCAATTATCGCGTGTTTACAATTTATCGTTATCGTTGTGTAGTGTGACCGGGCCTTTAGTCTTTAAATCGAAGTCAAAATACGAAATTTCGGCGGCACATTCCTTGCCAAGATGGCGGAAATTGAAGGGGCTATTGGACATGTCAGTCCCGAAGCTGGCTTCACTTCTCGCTCCAGATATATGGAGTTCACTGTCTTACACTTGCAGTCAATAGACATTGCCCCGTAGGCTAATGGGTGATTCCAGCTACACACTAAATTTTGATCAAGGTAAGAAGAACGAAATCCAACACCACAGCTAGAAAGAGCGTCTTAGAATGAGTAAAACTGCAAAGATTGGTTGCTAAATGTTGTAATATAGCCCTGTCAAGTTCGCAAATTTTGTGATATATTTGTATTACGCGCGGGGAAAGTAACCACTTTGGGCTCAAGAATGGTACCATATTTCTCCCGCGCGTGATGCAAATATATACAAAATTTGCGAACTTCACAGGGCTATAGTTAGTGATGGGCGATACCAGGATTTTTAATTCGATACCGATACCGATACTTTTAAGATCGGTATCGGCCGATACCGATACCTATTTCGATACCAAAATGAACACAAAATTTCAATTTTCGATACCGGAAGTGAGTACTTAAATTGCTAGTATCGGCTACTTTCGATACCTGCCGGTCAGCGGAAAAACATTTTACATTACTGTATGTAACCTAAATAAAGCTATATGTAAACCAAAAGCCTGAAACGTAATAAATATTTTCTATACATGACTTGGCGCAGCACATTTGGAATATTAAGACTTATTTTAGTGGTTCATTATTAAGTCTTATTCAACCAAGAAGTGAAATTAAACAAGTCGTTTAAAAAAGGGTGCAAGTATCGAACGATACCACGTCAGTAATCGATACCGATACCGCTGTTTGTGGTATCGCTGGTATCGAATACCAAGTACTCGGTATCGCCCATCACTAGCTATATTTTCCTCATGTGCAACAATTCGCAACCAAACTTTGCAATTTTACTCATTTTACGATGTTCTTTCCAGCTATGGTAATGGATTTCGTTCTCCTTGCCTAGATCAAAATTTCGTCTAATGCTGGCTGGAATCATCCATTGATTTAACCTTCAAACGTTTTTTTAATGTAGTCCTTTCAAGAAGTGGCGTGTGGTCAGACGGAAGATCAGAAATATTTGACGGAACAAGCAAGACAATTCGTTTACAGACAGACAGCTCGTTCGCTGAAATTTACGCCACACACTTACGAACCAGAAATGGCCATGGTGTGATTATATTATGCACATAACCATAACAAAAAATTTCAATGAAAATGAAGATCAGAATGTGCCTTTGGGCAGCCATTGATGCACTTTAAAAGCACATATAAAACTATTTTGGAATCTGAAGAATATAGTGCGTTAATGCTTTCCAGAAATTGAATTAAACGGACTGAGTCCACCAGACACTACTGTTTTACCTAGACTACGTTACACTATACAGAATAGCCCTCCGGCTCCGTAGCGGCGCGAAAAAGCACCTATCCGATACGGAATGTACAACTTTCAGAAGCTGAGCGAAACAACATCTCTCCTTGGCAATAATTCCTATGAAAATAGCGTTCCTAAAACCTGTACGGATAGGTGATTAGGGACTGGTCATAAAGTAACTGCTAGGGTGGGCTGGAGGTAAATCACAAATTTTGCCAATAAGTTTGGTGACCCATCTTAGGATGAAGATAAAAATTTCAAAGCCCATCTAATCTTACAAAATAATTTTTATGACCCACCCAATTTAAATTGGGAAAATACACTTTTATAATAAAAAAACTTGCAGGTATGAACATTGTAAATATACACCGGCACTGTATTGACATACATAATTCCACCAAGCTTGACCAACACATTCATCACCAATTACGATACTGAGCTGCTCTCCAGTTGGTTGTATTTGCTGTGATTCGACCAGTTTTTGTTGTTGTATAAACAAAGTACTGGCTTCAATATAGCATCATTTGCATTTGATAATTTGGATAGTTTTGTTTACTTTTATTATTAATACCTTTATTTTTTTACTTTATGACCGGTCCCTTATTAATCCCACTACCTTTTGCTGTGTTATACTGTTCCCTACAGAATGTGTTTTCATATAGTTTATGCACACTTGTCTAGTACAGATAACCCCCACTATGGTTAACGAAGGATGCACCTGCGCCCTGATTGGCTCAAATATTAATTAGTGCACATGAAATGTAGTTTATTATGTACAATTAATCTGGTCTTTTGGCCTCAGCAAACTTTATACTTCACCAGATATCCAGTATTATCATGTAAGCAAAATAAAGCAATATGGTTGGCTAATTTACTCATGAATTATTAATGCATTTGAGATACTACATTATAAAACCTCCCTGTCTTTTTACAATAAAGGTGTGGCAGCAACACTATTGTACCTACTGTATTGTACATTGTACTGCATAGTAAAAGGGGTAAACCGGCCGAACGATATAGAATATATTCTTGTTTTCAGGTAACAACCCGAAATCTGGGGGTTGGTGGACGTATTTTTGCCATTGAAAGCACGAGAACTAGAACGGGCAACATGTTGAAGTTGAAAGTGAATTTCTTGCCAGAAATCATTACTCTTGCAAAGGAGGTACAGTTCAAGACATTTTGCATACTTGTTATATGTTAATAGTGCATTTTTTTTGCTGGATGATCGACAGCCGCCTGTAATAACACTGCTTATTAGATGCTATGTTGAAATACCTTGTGTAGATTAAGATTAAAAGCATTTTGGTGTTTATTATAAAGATTGATATGATGAAGGACGGCAAAAATATATCGCTATTTTGATGACAAGTATTTAGTCTACTATCAGGATGTAGTTAATGGTTGCTATTTCTGTATTAAAAAAAATAATTCGCCGTTTTGGTTTGGTGTTTTTTGCACACCTGCATGTTTTGGAAAATTTCTTCATACCTTAAAATTAACTGTGTATCAGGTCTGAGAATGATAGTAGACCAATTTCCAATTCTTCCAGATCGCGGTTTTTTTGTTAGATCCAATCTGAAAATTTAACTTCACAAGCAGTCTTTCACTCTGAATATTGTCCACATGCAGAAACACAACTGTAATAATTGCCTCCATGTCACCACCGTGGCTAAACGGTCTCATTTCCTCGATTGAGTCTTTGATTTAACTTAAACTTTACAAGAAAACAAGACGCCTTATGCAAAGTGGTGTACTGTCGTATTTGGAAAGGCGTTTTTAGAAATGACGTATCTGACCGTAGGCACTCGACTATACAAATCTTAGACTTAAACAATATTAGTGTGAAACCTTGCTCCTTGGTGATTATAACTTTCGTATTATGTTCAGGTTCGTAATTTAAAGTGGCTAGGATTCCGTGTTCCTCTTGCCATCGTGAACAAAGCTCATCAAGCCAACCAACTTTATCCGTTTGCCATCTCCCTAATTGAAAGTGTTCGCACATACGAAACAGCTTGTGAAAAGGTAAGCTCATAAATCCATCTCACCCTACCCTTTATCTTAATTCATCTCGTCTCTTCACCCTTTGCATTAACCTCCAACTACTTTCCTCACTTTGTCTCCATTTATCACACTTTACTCACTTAGTACTCGCTTCACTTTACTTTACCATTCTTTACTCTACCTTAACTTACTGTGCCTTACCATTTTTCATCATGCCATACTTCACCTTACTGTACCTAATATCCCGTAACTTTAATTTTTATAATTTATTAATGAAAATACATATGCAGCTCGGAAGCTGAATTGCGTATTTACAAAACGACAAACAATTAGTCTAAAATATATTATAGAAATAGTAAAATACGGTAAAATTTACTAAAAGAACTTAAACTAATAGAATTTCAATGTGATTCAAATAAGAGTATCTCAAACTGTGCTGAGTTCAAATCCTAATAGTTATAATTAATTATCTTGAAAGTTATATAAACATATCTGGATTAAAAGTACTAGATAAAATGATATACAGTATAATATCGTAATATCATCGAGATCAACCATTTTCATTGATGGAAGACATTTTAAAAGTGTTTCTGAACCGGTTGTTACTCCAATTGTGGATTGCAAATGCCATTTTAAACACTTCTCTCTTGTGTGAGATTATCCCATATCACTTTGCTAGTCCACGCGACAACATCTCATCTCTCAAAACTTTCTCAATCTTTCTTTCCCTCCACATTGCATTTCAAATCAACTTTCAGTACATAATCAATTGTTTTTTTGAAAAGCCAAAATGTGATTTCTTTGGTAGGTTGAGAACAAGAAAACAATCAAACCTTTAGTTGCTGGGTTGCAAAAAGATATTCAAACCTATATCGGCGAGGTATGAGAAGTCTAACTTTTGGTTGCTAACTGTGAAATCTTTGTTCTAGTTGTCTCTGTACGTGTAAATATATGATTGTTTATTAGTTTTTCTAGTGTCTTCTCCGTTATTACTTTTTAACACTAGACAGATTTTTAAACAAGGTTTCAACCACCATAATAAGCGACTCCAGCTTCGTCAAATTTTATGTACTTCAACCAATTTTACGCGCTTCAACCACTCTCATATTCAGTTGAAGTTTCAAATTAAATTGATTACATCAGAAAGTCAGCAGTATAAATATAATATTAAAAATCTCTGTATTATTGACCGTTTTCATGGTGGTTATCATTTTGGAAAAAATTAAAGACAATTTTAAAAAGCCACTAAAAGAGTAGAATATATTAATGCGTCAAAAATATCAAGTGGTGGGGGGTGGGGGGTGGGGGGGGGGCTTCGGTGGTGCAGTCGTCAGAGCAAGTGCCTTTCACCTCTGGTGAGAAGAGTCTGTCAACGCTCTGCTGAAAGTCGCGAGTTTTCTCCGTGTGTTCTGGTTTTCCGAAAGTTGACAGGGTGGGTTAGGATAAACATAATAAGGAAAGTAATATCACAAATGTTGTAAAGATGAATAGTCTATGCTAAGTAGGTACAGTAATATAAGTAAGCGTGTATAATACTTGATGTAATCGGTCACTGAAAATCCCCAATGCATGGGGAGTGAACTGAATAATGTATGTACCTTATATATATATTGTGTAGTATAATTATATGTAATATGTATGTTTTATAATTTAGGGTATTGGTCTTACGTGGGAGTCGTACAAACTTGATCCATATGTACAGAAGTTTGCTGATGCTGTAATTAGCTTTCAGGAGAAGGTAACTTATTTGATAATAAGGTACGCAGTCACCAGTACGTCTGTATATACAGTGATGCTTCGCAACTAGTAAGTTATCTATATCGGTTATACAATCTTCTTCAACTACCTAACAGAACTAAGATAATTCTTTCACTGCCCAAACACTGCTCTGGATAGGACACTTGGTCACTGTCCAGCACAAACTGCATCTCATTCAACTGCTAAAACGATTGGAGTAGAGCGTGGAGAAGACTTAGTACTACTATAGCATGAAAAGCACGCAACTCCCGTAAGCTGTTCACTTCTACTCTGTAACGATCATGCTAGCACTACGGATTACGATTTACCTAACTAATGTACTTAACTATTACTGTAAGCGCTTTCTACTTGCACCACTCTTTCTCTTATCTAAGGGGTACTGTATTATTTTTCAGGTCGATGACTTATTAGTTAGTGTTGCGAGAATCGAAGGCGAAGTGGAATCATTAGCATCATGCAGTTACGATGCAGCGACCTTCACTGAAGTGCTCTCCAGTATCCAAAAAGCGGTCGATGAAATGAATCTGTATTCTTACACAAATTTACCATCATGGGTGTCTAGTCTGGACAAATCTGTAAGTATAAATATGTACTGCTCGGTTTTCAATTGTTCAGAGCTGAACATTGCGAACAAACCAACATATGAATATTTTAACACTTGTACTCTTATTCTTGTGATCGCCAAATTGAAGTGCTGGCTATTCAGTTGGTCGACTAGCCTCTGAGGTATATGCTGTGTGGAAACTATTTATAATGTACTCATGTAATGTATGGCAATCAGGTGATAAATGGATTTCGAGGGTATCGTATATTTAACAGTTAGAACAAATTCACCTCCAAATGTGGCATAATTTATGGGCGTATATTTATTTACAAATTTTACAAATTACGTCTCAACAAAAGTCACACTATATTTAAATCAAGATGCCTCGAATTCATTTTTTATTTAAAAATATCTATTTTATCAAGGTTGAAGAAAAACTTTCTGTTCGACTCCAAGCTGGTTTGAGAGCATGGACTGACCACCTTGAGGATTATAAAGAAGAGACCAGTAGGCCAGAGTTTGATTCCGATACCAACCCATTGGTTGCCCATAAACCTGGTGGAGATCCAGAGATTAAGGTGAGGAATATTATTAAGAGGTTATAGATAAAATATGAGTTAATATGACATTTTTCAGCAGTTGTTTTTTTTACAAATTGGTATACAGTGTATCATTGAATTGCTAAGTTCATATCTTTTTTTATCATAGGTTCTGCGTCATGAAGTACGAATAACTAATCAGATCTTGTATCTATATCCTCCTGTGGAAGGCGTCCGAGCTCACCTCCTTGGGGAACTTCATGTATGGCTTGGCTTGATCCTAAAGTTACCTAGGATTCAGAGTTCTAGATATCAGGTAATGTATTCACAGTACAACTAAACTTACACAATCAGCAAGTGAAAGTTTAGCAACATGTTTTGATTAATTAACATTACTCCGAGATAAAGGGGGCGGTATATTGTATAACATTGAGCATCGCACTACTTCCTTATAGAATTATTTTGGGGATGGAATTTATTTATACTGGTGTTACTTGAGACTTGTTGGGAAGCAATTTTTAGGCGTCACATGATACTATTGTATCCTACCATGCGGTCATCGAAATCACTGACCCTAAACTATACGTATTGCATAGAATTGTTATTTACAGTACATTAACGAATCACAGTCAACCGTGATGCTTCGCGCGTTATGTGAATGTTTACATATACGGGGAGCTAAAAATAGTGTTGTCTTCGAAAATAGTCATAGACTAAAAATGATATACGTTAGCTTACCCGCTGGTGTTTTGACGAAATCCAGATCCCTGCTCCATCGGACGAACTGCGTGAATGTAGCAGGATTTCGGCGAACTCGCTATGCGAAAGCCCCCGTATTCCCAGGCTTTCTTTCCTTTCCATCCAAAAGACGTACGTTGAACTTGTCCACGATATTCTTTGTCATATACCCTCATTTGGTGGTCTTCCACGAACGGAAAATACAGAAGCCATGATTAGCAGCCATCTACTTTATAAAATGAGAAAACTTTCTAAAATCATTGGTTAAGATAAACACACACGCCAAAATCTCAATCAATGATCTATTAACATATTCCAACTATGAAAAATATGACATCGTCTAAGAATAATGCAGATTGATAAGGATGCGCTTCGATGTCAATCTTTCGTTACTAAAGTGGCCAATAAAATGGCGGAATACAAAACAATCAAAACATTTTAGCGCGCTTTAAGCTTAAAATAATAGTCTTTTTCCATCAAGGTTGGTCTTGATATGGACGAGTCAGATTCTCACACGAGTTATCGCAATCTTCTCACAAAACTCCCTGACGGTCCAGAGGTGATTGAGGGTGCATACCAAGCTGTTGAAAAGAAAGTTCAAGAAGTTGAGAAATACGTTGAAGTTTGGCTTCGTTATCAGTCATTGTGGGATATGGAAACTAGTCTTATATACAACAAGCTTGAGAATAACCTGGAGAGATGGACAATCTTACTGAGGAATATCAGGTACTGTATGTAACACTGCATGGGTTGGCAGTTGCCCAAGAGCGATAATTACTGTAGCTCATCTGGTAGGGAGTCTTGTTCCACCTTAGTGTATTGTGGAGAATTATTGATCATTAAAACCCCGTACGAAATCTTTACGAGTTACAACCATAAAATATTTTTCAAGCCATTTCGCAGAGAATTATAAACTTCCTAAAAATATAACATTAATACCTAATACAAGATGAGCTTAGCTCCTTTTTATGTTCTTACACCGGTTCTTACGGTTTTCATTTTAGGAAATCTCGAGTTACCTTTGACACACAGGAAACAAGACAACAGTTTGGTCCTGTAACAATTGACTTCCAACAGGTATTGTTTACACCCTATTGTTTAACTACAGCATTAGCAGTTGTACTGCGATCTTTCATATGTGAAAGTTTTTTATATCTATAAAGCTTGTATCTTTAAATAACTGACTCGTACCCAGTGGTCAAACCGAACATGATTTTACAATTTGAAAGACTATTTGGAGGGACAATATCTATAGTAACGTTTTGCTTTATACAGAGTTGGGAATTTTTTGTGTGAATCACCTTTTTACTTTTACTTTAAATACTTTGTTTTCCTCATTTTTAAAATAGTATTTTTCAATTAGAGCTGGAAATTTATTTGCAAACAACTTGCGTAGCAAAAAGTATTTTATGAATACTGTACATGTAGGTTTTGTAACTACAATACACGTCTTCTTCAACGACTATAATATTTGACAAGCTAACATTGTTTTGCAGGTACAATCTAAAGTAAATCTCAAGTATGACAGTTGGCATAGAGAACTTCTCAGCAAGTTTGGATCCATGCTTGGCACTAACATGCAAGAATTCTATGGAACTATAACAAAGGTAAACGTTTACGACGGAGATACACTTTTGCCATGGCTTGCCGGGCATGCTTGACTTCGATCTTATACGCACGTTTGTACCTATAGTCGAAGGCATTACGCAATAAATAAGCATTATGGTTCCTAAAACAATAGTAAGAATGATTGGGGAAACTACCAACCTAACACTTCCAACCTTGAAAGGTGTAATAAATTATATTTCGCACTAAAACAATGGACACTCCGAAAATGGTTATCATGAACAATTGAACATATATGTTTCTCGTTCACAGTCTCGAACTGATTTGGAACAACATTCAGTAGAAGGATCATCGACTTCCGACTCTGTCAGTTTCATCACCTTCGTTCAATCCTTGAAACGCAAATTGAAAAACTGGGAGAAAGTGATGGAGGTGGGTAAAATGTTTATTGAGTGCTGGCTTTCTTTATTAATCACATTGTTTTAATTTTATTTTATTTTAAAAATTCGCACTCCAAAGGCAGGTGTACAGCAAAAGGACACTAAGTCCCCTACAAGACTTGTACACCAATTGTTTGTTGGTTTCTAAGCTACCAATGCTGTGTTAACCATGTACTTTATATTCCTTGCCTTTTTCTAGATTTACAAAAATGGTCAGCTAATTCTGGAAAGACAAAGATTCCAGTTTCCTTCACAGTGGTTGTATTATGACAACGTTGAGGGTGAATGGGGAGCATTTAACGATATCTTGAAACGAAAGGACATTTCCATCCAGAAAGAGGTCAGTGCGTGTGGGCAAGTACGCAGATCAATGAACCGGAGTTGTGGTGTAGTGAACGATATCTGTACCAAGGGCCATCGAGAGGTTGCGGGGACCCGGGACAAAACTTTCCCAGGGGGGCCTTGTGACGTCATGAAATTTTCTGAGGGCCCTTATGACGTCACAATTGTAAAACAGGAGTATTTAAAAGCTGTGTTTTTATTGCATATTATCCGGCACTGAGGATATATATTCTCGATTAAGATTCGTCGTTTTGGGGGCCCCTAGCTAGGGGCCAGGGGAAAAATGCACCCCCCCACCCCCCCACTAGTTTCCTCCCTCTTGGTGGCCCTGGTTATACGAATCCTTTTAACAGGAACGAGCTGAGGCAAAGAATTAATGCAGAAATATATTTAGCCACAACATTTCTATCGAGGATGGATAAGAGCACATTTGCTTCACTAAAGCACATTTGCTTCATCTATGAGTTTGTCCAATTCCAAAGTGATTGAAGGATATGTTTAAGGCTTGGAACTTAAACAAAATTTGATTTAACAGGAACATGCACAGCTTCAGAGTCCCTGGCCAAAGTTGAAAAGCTGTAAAAGCTATTTCCATGTGTTTTTTTTTCAAATCTTAAAGAATACATTTCCACATTGGCTTATTTGGACATCTTGTGACAACGTATAAGGGATGAGGGGAAGTGCATATTGGTTGCCCTCTAGCTTTTACCAACTGTGACCTTTGAAAGTTTAGCTTTTTAACATCCTAAAATCCTATACGCTTTAAATACTGAGTACCATTTCTAAAAAATGTGATGCGTGTGTTTGTTACAGGTGTCAATGTTACAAGTAAAGATCATAGCTGAAGATCAAGCCGTAGAAGAAAGAACCACAGAATTTCTCAATGATTGGGACAAAAGCAAACCTGTTCAAGGCAGTACTCGACCTGATGCTGCTCTCAAGTCACTCGCTGTTTATGAAGGAAAACTAAGTCGACTCAAGGAAGACCGAAGTAATGTTTCTAAAGCCAAGGAGGCATTGGAACTGCAGGAACAAGGTACGTGTTCAGAAGGTCCTATGGTACTGTATTTGTTATCTGAATAACAAAATCGTGAGTTCTTATTGGTCGAATTGGTTACAATTGTTTCGTTATTTGCACTTGTATAGTATATGCAATATTAGAACGAATTTAGCATATGGAAATGATGGTTGTATCGAATATAGATTTGCGTTGTAAATACTCGGAAATATACATACTAAGTATTCTGTATTCAACTTATTTTCAAATGATGTTTCAGTGTTGTTCCTCTTTCAAGTAATGTCTTTATCAAGCGAGCTGACGTGAGATACTTCAGATACCGATTTGAGGTTTCTTTGATGGTGAATTATACCCTCATCACCCATGGATGATTTTCATGAGGGGCGTCACACAAATTACATTCTAAAAACTAATATAAATTAAATATGAAATAGAATAACACAGAATAACAAATACGTAGATAAAAAAAGTTAAAAAACCCAAGACTATTCGATGCCTCACTCTGTTGCACACATTATTTCATCAAATTTTTGAAGCTACTTAAAGATTCTGTTTGCTTTGCCTGCGTAGGTAAGCTATTCCATAGAACAGCCCCGCTATATCCAAAACTCTTTTTTAAATATTCAGTACGTGGTTTAGGAACTGAAAGATTTATATCAGCATTTCTGAGATTATAATTAGCACTAAGATTTATGTCCCTTGTTATAAATTTATCCTTTAAGTTCGGAGCTGAGTGGTTGTTTAATATTTTAAACATCAGGACCGATTTATTCATTTTATGTCTGTCGTTCAGATTTTTCCATGACATAGCATGGAGCAAATCTGTCGACCTGACATCATAATTGGCACCTGTCATAATTCTTGCCGCCCTATTTTGTAGTTTTTGTAATTTCTCTTTGAGCATGCTTCCACAATTATCCCATAAAGATGAACAATAGTCAAAATATGGGAGAACGAGAGAATTATATAAATTTTGTAGTGTTTCGGACGGTACAAACGGCTTTACTCTTTTGATGATTCCAATACCGGAGCCAACTTTCCTACATATTGTGTCTATATGGTTTTCCCAGCTCATTCTTTCATCTAGTTCTACTCCCAGACATGGAAAAGAGGAATATCGAGTAACCGGTTTATCATTTATCATAACCTGTTCATTACCAACTTTGTTTTTTAAGTTATAGGGTGATCCTATAAACATTGCTTTTGTCTTTTTTGTGTGAAGTTGCAATTTTTTTGATTAAGTTTGGTTACTAGTTCGGAGAAACTTGCGGAAGATGCATATATTTGAGTATCGTCAGCATATATGCCAGGAGTTGTGTTTTTCAGACATCCTGGCAAATAATTTATATATAGTAAAAACATGAGGGGTCCCAAGATAGATCCCTGTGGAACTCCGCATACAATTTCCTTAGCCAACGATGTGTGGCCATCGACAACACAAACTTGGCTTCGTTTCGTCAAGTAGGATTGGAACCATTTTAGCTCAAAATCTTGAACACCAAACTGGTCTTGCATCTTCCTTAATAGGATTTTATGATCAATAGAGTCAAAGGCTTTCCTAATATCAACTGAAATTAATCCGGTTATTTCTCCATTATCCATATTTTCAAACCAATTGTCACTCATTTCTATTAATAAGGACAGTGTGGAATGTTTCGGCCGGAAGCCCGATTGAAAACGTGGAAGTAGAGAATTGTCTATCAGATATTGATAGAGCTGTCCAAATACTTCTTTCTCAAATAATTTGCTGATAATGGGAAGAATAGATATCGGGCGATAGTTTTCACATTTCGTTCTATCTTCTGTTTTATAAACAGGTATTACCCTAGCTCTTTTCCAATCATCAACATATATCCTAGTAGAAATTGAGAGATTAAATATATAGGTCAAGGATGGGGCAATAATATCGCAGGATAATTTCAGTATTTTGGCTGGTTTTCCATCAGCCCTGGTAGCCTTGGATACTTTTAGATTTTTCAGGTTTTTTAGAATATTGGATTCAGTAATTGTATGGAAATAGAATTTTGAATTTACACCAGTTGAATTACAAAAAATTCCTTAATTCTTGTTTGATAATGGACAGTTTTGGCCCTTTTCATTTCCGAGTTAACTTTATTTCTCTCCGATTTATATTTATCCCAGTGAACCTGGGAATTATATTTCTTTGCTCTCTGTTTATGATAGTCTCTCGATCTTATTAGTTTTTTAATGTTGGAATTTATCCTGGGAACAGAGTTGTGCTTAATGCTTTTATAAATTAAGTGTGCATGTCTGTCAAGAGCTTCCAAAAAAAAAAGATTTCCAGACATGCCAATTATCGTTCGGGTTCATATACTGTGTAGCTAAATACCAAGGTATTCTGGACAGTTCCTCAATAAAATCAGTTTCATTAAATCTTTTGAAATTTCTAACTTTGGAACGGGTTTGCCTATATTTAGGCATGGTCACTTTTTTCACCGCATAAATTAAACTGTGATCTGACATTCCCAAGTCAATAACACCACTATTGGAAATGTTATTGGGTTGATTGGTGAACACTAGATCAATTAAAGATGATGATGTGCTTGTGACTCTAGTTGGCTCCTTGATCAATTGCTCTAAGTTATATAATGTGCTCAGAAATATTAACTTTTTGGTACTGGAGTCTTTTGGTGTCTTAATCATACTACAATTTATGTCACCAATAACAATCAACTCCTTACTTTCAGCATCACATTTACTAAGAAATATTTCAAAGAAATCAAATAATTTCATCTCAGAGTTGGGCGGCCTGTACCATGCACTAATGAGAAATGGCCTACTTCGTGGTTTACAAATCTCAATACAAATCATTTCAAGATCATCTGAATTTAAATCCTTCCGCTCATAGAAGGAATATATCTCTCGAATATAAACAACCACTCCACCCCCAAATCTATTGCGATCTTTTCGAATCTCGAGGACTCTTTGTTTTTTTTTAGTCGAGGACTCTTTGTTTTTTGCCCTATTAGATATTTTAAATTTATGGAAGGCCTTTTCACTGGAAAAAGTTGCAAAGCTTGTGAAAGTCCAGTTGCTAAGAACAATAGCGTATCTTATTTATTTACAGATTAGTTAGGGTAACATAGGGATAAAACAAGTATTATTTAGTATTGATATTTTTGTGTTCTGGTCATTTCAGGAGCTACGATGATCAGTGATGAACGTGTTCAGATTGCGATGGAAGAACTGCAAGATTTGAAAGGAGTCTGGAATGAATTGTTAAAGATTTGGGAGAAGATAGATGAAATGAAGGAACAACCTTGGCTCTCTGTACAACCACGTAAAGTAAGACACTTTACAGTTTTTTGTCACTTTCCTGATGTGCATGCATGTAGATTTTAATCCTTCAATATTTTTTTAATTCCTTAAAGTTGGCAAAGTTTTGTTACGGGCAAATTTAATCCTTTGCATTGGATGAACGATATCAACTATTTATTTTCATATTTGCAGAATTGATATTATAACTGAAATTAGTTAAACATTGTAAATAATACATCAGTGGAGTGTTCAATTAAAGTCAAATCACTTGCTGAAAACTACCTGGATGTCACAGCCGTGAATCAAAAGTATTACGTAGTATTTAAAACACATAGTGTTTTTATGCATATAATCGGCTCCTGAGAAGCTATTGTACATTTCAAAACAATGCTATCGTATTTCTTTTAGTTGCGAGGTTCTCTTGATGCTCTATTGAATCAACTGAAGAATTTCCCAGCTCGTCTCAAGCAGTATTCGTCGTATGAACACGTACAGAGACTAGTCAAGGGTTACATGAAGGTAAGAATTTAAAGGCTCAGTGTCACCGCCTGTTGAACGATGTTATTTAATTGCAAAAAAATTACTGCTGTGCGTGCGCACATGGTCCAGTTTGGAAACTTTCGTGTAGAAAATCAAATAAAGTCAGTAAATTTTGGCAATTAAATAACATCGTTCAACATGTTACACTGAGCCTTTAAGATATCCATAAATCTAGAAAGAGATTACTCTTTCTACCTTCCCAATGAGTACTCTTTTTGGGGGGAGGGGTAATTTTCTTGTCTGGTGTCAGTGGTGTGGATCTCATGCGGCACCCAAGAAAATCTCCTAATATATATGCTTAATAGTCTCGATAAGAAGTGAAACTACCTGCACGACTTGTTGGTAATGATTTGGGACAGTATAGTTACTGGTAATGGTTAGATAGAAAGACTTCACTGCTTTTTATTACCCTCCGACGAAACGTACTATTTTGGCCCAAAATAACTGGTCTATATGTGATTCACTTGAGAACGAGGATTTGAGTAATTTAAATTTTATACTGTATTTGAGTGTAATACTCCATACAATCAAACTCAATTCCAAACGAACTTAATCGCAGTACTAATAGCCATTGTAAACGGATCTATATGATTCTGGTCTTACCGGATGGCAATCATGTATGTATATGATGTTTCTGTGGTAAGAGAGTGGAATTGGCAAAGTTGTGTACTGCCAAATGTAATTCTAAATTTATGTTCTCAGGTCAATGTCCACATTGTTGAACTAAAATCTGAAGCATTAAAAGAACGTCACTGGAAACAGTTAATGAAACAACTCCGTGTGAAATGGGTCCTTAGTGATCTCACTCTGGGCGCTGTTTGGGACGTGGATCTTGTCAAGAATGAGGGCCTTGTGAGAGATGTGATTTTGATTGCTCAAGGTGAAATGGCCTTGGAGGAATTCCTTAAACAGGTTTGTCGAAGCGAAGTTAAAGTAAACGTTTTCACGTTTTTACCAATTTATAGGATTGGTTTATAAAATGTAACGACCTTCTTCGTATAGGGTATAGTAACGATAATCCTCATCGAATACTTAATTTTGAATAACTATAGAAACATTCACGAGTTCTTGAAAAACAAGATATAAACTTTTCTGTACTGTATATAGTGTGACATTTCGAGTTGTGTCAATTCAGTTTGATAATGAGTTTAAATTAGAGTCCAAATACGACCTTGAAATTTGCGTATGTTGTACATTCATCTATTAGGATCAGATTCCGCCTCTCACCGAACCAAACTTTTAACCACCTCGTTAAAAAGAACAAGTATAAACTGAAGAAACGATATCTTCTATAATATTCACACAATGTTCACGTTTTCTACTAGGTTCGAGATGTATGGCACACCTTTGAACTGGATTTGATCAATTATCAGAACAAATGCCGAGTTATTCGAGGTTGGGATGATTTGTTTACTAAAGTCAAGGAGCATTTGAACAGCGTTACTGCCATGAAGTTGTCGCCCTATTACAAGGTATGGTATTGTTTATGATATAATCTTGAACTGTCAGTGTAGGTAGTGCCAATAATATAAACAAGCTTTCGTTGGTAGTGATGCATGCAACTACCTGAAAATATAAGTAGTGATTGACCGATAATCGGCATCGGGCTGATTTTCACCTTATCAGTAGACAATCGGAATCGGTAGAATTATCTATATTTAATTCCGATTGTATAAAACCGATTGTTCAGAAAACACGCACTTTAAAAATTATATGCATTGCAGGTTGATACACGTTGCGTTTTAACGCATATGTTAAATTAATGCGTGAAACGTATCATTTATTAACGGTTTTGACGATCTTTGGTTGCAGTAACATGTTACGTTGGAAATTATCTTTAAAAAATCGACATGAATGACGTCACCTTTACTCGGTCGACTGATATTATGACGTCATTATAAAAAAAGTAACGGCATCGGTATCTGGCAGATTGTGGCATGAATAATCGGTAATTTCCGATTGTTGCAATCATTAAATATAAGGACTAGTAACTCCAGACGAAGGACCTTCGCTTGAAACGTCGAAATTCTCCTTATATTTTTCAGGTAGTTGCATCCCTACCAACGAAAGTTTGTTTATATTGTTTATGATAATTGTTGGTTAACTGGATATCAGTAAATAGAAATAGGATTATCGTGTCATTAACAACAGAACATCTGAGGTTGTATGGTCCCGTAGTTTGTCAATGCTAGTGAGCGATCTAGCTCTTGTAGGGAAAAATTACAATTTAGCAAAGGCAAAACTGCATGGCTAACAACAGCAATGACCAAAGAGCAGAAATCTAATAATACATTTAATTGAAGTATAGTAACGACAGCAGTTTGCTGTATTTCAAACAAAGAGTACGTGCATGTAGAACTCTGGTATACCCTCTATAAGACCTCAGACGTACAGTACTGTGTATATACGTACTATACTTGTGCACTGACCAAGCCAGGAACATTAAATATTACCATGATGTTATCTTGGCAGTACCCAGTGCTATATCAAACTGCAGTGCCCACTCTGGGAGACTAGATAACCACGTCTTACCGGCTGATATCATCTGCAGATATTTGTTATTTATATACATCATATATCTCCTCTTTGTCACCTTTTCTTCTAATCGCTCGTCTCGCACCCGTTCAAGCAAGGGCAACTTGCTTCAAGTCAATCCGTGCAAAACCTCTCTTTTTAGAAACTCTTTTTTAACCGAATTATCTTTCTATGGAACAATATCTCTCCGATCATTTGTAACAGTTCGTCTGTTTCATCCTTTAAGCTCCAGCTCCATATTCACTACTCTTCTCAATTAGACTCTTCTTGTCGATGTTAACAGAATGCGCGCATGGAAAACCTACTGCTCTAAATGCAGTTCTTTCAACTTAAGCTGTTGCTCATAATCTAACCTATTAAATTTTATATAGTTTTGTAAATAGTGTTCTAGTCCTTGTTTTAATGTATATCTACTTATTGTTTTGTATCAGGTTGGTCTTCACATGGGACTCATGTCCTGTTGACCATACCTTCAATCACTGTTATACTTTTCTATGATTGTAAAGTTAATAAATATATATCTACCGTTAATTTAAGGAAAAATGAAGACGTTTATAAACAAGACGATTTGACATTCAAAGCAAATTTTGGAAAACTTTTAGGTATTTGAAGAAGATGCTCTTCAGTGGGAAGAGAAACTGAACCGTATTCACGACACATTTGATGTATGGATTGATGTTCAACGTCGCTGGGTGTATCTGGATGGTATTTTCAGTGGAAGCGCTGATATAAAGACCTTGTTACCTGTAGAGACACAAAGATTCCAAAGGTAAGTTCATTTACAAAACGCTATACGATATATGCTTCTTTAATTGCCAGACGGCTCTTCCTGTATTTTGTAAAACAATAGTCACACACAATAATTACAGAGAGATTTCATACGCACGTGCGAAATAGGTTTCTTGCTCTTTCTGGCCTGAATTTACCATTCCAAATGTTGAAACAGGGCATAAATTTTCCGAATACAAGTAGAATTAATAAATATACATTGATAAATCCAAGTATATGCATGTATAGGACTAGCATTTATCCGTTGACTCACTAGATCTTTTATATAGATCTTTTATACTGCAAGTTGTTCTTGACTTACCTTACATTTTAGTCCAGGGTACAAGTCGCGGCTTATTTCCGGGGTTTATTTTTGATTCTATCATTGTGGTTCAAATCATTCTTGATTTTAGCATGTAAATTTATATAACTGAAAACCAGTCAGTGCTTTATCAGAAAGTGAAAGATGTCTCTGTGTATTTGCAATTTCTCGATAAAGTATTGTGTTTTATACGTTGTCTTATTGCCTTGTAGCATCAGTACGGAATTTCTGACGTTGATGAAGAAAGTGTCAAAGTCTCCGCTAGTTATCGATGTCCTGAATATCCAGGGTGTTCAACGACAGCTGGAACGTCTTGCTGATCTGTTGGGAAAGATCCAGAAAGCTTTGGGAGAATATTTGGAACGCGAAAGAGCCTCATTTCCAAGGTACTGTAATGATGTTTTAGACAGGTATTGTGATCTGCGACTGCGACTGCTGACAGAAGAAGCTGTTTTCAATTGCAAGCACATCGTAACGAAAGAAAGAGTATTTCGTTGTTTGGTATTGTGAGCACTAGAACAGAATTGCATTACAACATGACAATACAAACGCTACGGTATTTTCGAATATGCAAAACACACTTTAAATCCAGTCTCAGTAAAGCTGTCACTCGGACGACTGCTCAGAAAGGCAACTTATGATATACTTTGTGTTTCAGATTTTATTTCGTCGGTGATGAGGATCTATTAGAGATCATTGGAAATAGCAAGACCATTCCAAAACTGCAGAAACATTTCAAGAAAATGTTTGCTGGTGTCACGAGTATTATCTTGAACGAAGAAGAACAGATCATTGCTGGAATTTCATCAAAAGAAGGCGAAGAGGTAAAGCTTCCTATAAATTTTCACCAAAGTTACTGTATATTCGTGACTACAAACACGCTCATTACAATAAATCCGTTTTGAAATTTTAAACACTTTTAGGTGGCTCAATACAGTTTTTGAAATGTGACAAATCGTGACTTAGATTTAATTTTTTGAAGAGAGGTTTCTTGTTAGAAGACAAAAATTGTACCACATATATTGAACAATCTTCTAAGAGTTGAAAATTGTTCACAAAAATCATGTCATAACCGTTGCTATGGTAACAATGACGTTTCAATATGGCCTACATTTTACCTTTTAACACATTTTACTCGAAAAAAGGCCGGTTACCCCCATTTTTTATTTCGTGAAACGTTTTCATTTAGAAAAATGAATGATGTGAACAAGTTTAAAAAAATTCTGTAGATCAGAATTTTTTAAAAATTAAAAAACGTGATTTTTCATGTTAAATATTTTTTTGGATCTACAGAATTTTTTTAAACTTGTTCACATCATTCATTTTTCTAATTGAAAACGCTTCACGAAATAAAAAAATGGGGGTAACCGGCCTTTTTTCGAGTAAAATGTGTTAAAAGGTAAAATGTAGGCCATGATATTGAAACGTCATTGTTACCATAGCAACGGTTATGACATCATTTTTGTGAACAATTTTCAACTCTTAGAAGATTGTTCTATATATTTGGTACAATTTTTGTCTTCTAACAAGAAACCTCTCTTCAAAAAATTAAATCTAAATCACAATTTTGTCATATTTCAAAAACTGTAGGGAGCCACCTTAAGAACATCTTGTGTACATGTACTTCATGAAAATAAAATTATGGGCATATATGCATTTGTCCTTCAAAATTTGCCAAGAGTTCGACGTGTATGCTGGGTGAGTAAAAATCGGGCTAGATATGTCTGTGTCGAGGTTAGATTTTTCAGAACTAAGAATTTTTTAAATGTGGAAAAGATATTTACCGAAATGTTCCACATATGGTTATTACAAATTATTTAGAAATCTGGTAATTTTTACGTCTAATAAACTGTAAATAGCATAACCTGGTAACTGAGTCAGCCGTACAGTAGTCAGAAGTACAGTAAGCCCTAGTCTGATGAAAAGCATGACATGTCGAACCTGGATTGCTATTGTTTGTTTTCCGCGACGACACTGTTGTTCCAGCAGGAGCGTCGACTTTTTTCTGCAGTCTTCAGTAAATTGAGTGTTTTTAATAATGTGCTATTCAATGTATACAGGTTACATTCAAGACGCCAGTATCACTGAAAGAACATCCGAAGGTCAATGAATGGCTGACTTGTGTTGAGAAAGAAATGCGTATGACCTTGGCTAGTCTGTTGGCTGAAGCCATGAAAGATGTTAGTCAATTCCAATCTGAAAATATCGATTCTCAAAAATATCTTGAATGGGTTGACAAATACCAGGTAATTGAAGTAGTCTTCTTTTGTAAATGAATCATATTAACGAGCCAACGTTATAAAACAAATTTGCAATTCATCTTCTGCATTAAAAATTTGATCAAGATGCGGTTTTTACTCTAAAGATATATTACATTTCTTCATTTCTTAGTATGATCCAAATATTTCACATACAAAAAATCAAATTTGGATTTGATTTCATATTTGGAACTTAAATGTTAATCGCATAAGATTCCGATTGTTTCGGTTACACCTTAAATGTCTGGAATCATCGAGTGCACACAATTGTGTAAAATGTTGCAGACTCTATAAAACGCACCAACGTAATCTATGTATCTTTTAACCAAAAGTGAATGCTTTGCCTTAGGCTCAACTGGTGGTTCTGGCTTGCCAAGTATCATGGTCTCAATACACTGAAGCAGCTCTCGTGAAGGGTGATCTCCCTTCTGTGCAACAAGTACTCAGGGTTGTTGAAGCGACTTTAAATGTGCTCGCAGATTCAGTTCTTCACGAACAACCTGCTGTAAGAAGACGTAAACTGGAGCATTTGGTAAGCCTAATTACTTTTGTTTGGAAATTCTTACTGTTACTCTTACTTTTGAGCTGTGGTGACCGAGTAGGATATATGATTAACGTTTAGAATTGTCTACTTGACCGGTCGTACTGATGATATAACTAGGTCACGGGTGTTTATTCATGAATTTAGTTCTTGCACTATGTACTTAATCCTGTTTTCCTCTTCTACTGTATCAAAACATCCTTTGTTTCAATGCCATCAGTTATGCTCTTAAAAGTTAAAACTCTACGTAATTCCATTATATGTGTGGAATAGGAAACCAATCGTTCGCAAAATCATGATAATTATAGGTAGGTACAGGTATTATGTAGCTTAAGATATGCTTAATCTAGTACGCGGACGGTACAAATTCACAGCTGCAGCAACACAGGTAAAAACTGTCGATTCAAAATTATGACAAACGTAACAGTTTTTTGGGTGGTAGCCAGCAGGAAAAAATCGGCAATTTAATGAAATTGGGAAATTCAATTAGCCCGCGACATAGACCAATTGCGAAACTTAGTGGCCGCGCCTTCATACTGCACGAGAACGAGGCTTATTATGCAAAAACAAAACAATTTCTGTATTTTTATATAGCGAAAAGTGAATTTTAGGGTTTTTAAAGTGTTTTTTCTTGAATCTCTTTGATCTTTTCTTAATATTTCGTGCTAGGTTATATAAATATTTGTTAAATTTATCTAAACATCAGTTTCCCACTATAGTTTTACCCGCTTTGGAGAGATATTTCGTTGTTGTTTTAGCATGTGATGGAACAAACATATGGAAAAGATCAATCTAGACTTTAAAATCTGATCAAGATGCAAATAAAATAGCCAGTATAACTTAACAAACTAAAATATAACTCTTTCTACCCAGATTTTTTTAGACTTCGTGCGAAAAAAAAAGATTTTGTCAAAGGATAATAACATAAAATTTCTACAAATTTTGCCCGACATTTACTTTCATATTTTGAAAGTTAAAATCAAAAACTTACTATATTATATTACAACTGAAACAAAATTAATCAATGTTACAACTTATTCTTTGAAATGTATTAATAAACAGACGGAAAATACCTGATTCTTTCTCTGGTATAATCTGCTTCTTTTTTCGGACGGCGAAAAACAGCAAAACTTTGCCTCGCACGCCGCGAAAAAACAATGAAATTTGAAGTAAGACTAAATCTATGAACAAGTTTAATAAAGATTTACATAGTCAAAACAGAAATATTGAAAAAAAATGAAGAGATTACCATAAAAACCCGTCTCAAACACTGAAATTCATTTTTCGCCATATGAAAATATAGCAGAATGGTTTGTTTTTGCATAATAAGACTCGTTTTCGTGCAGTTTAAGGCGCGGTCACTAAGTTTCGCAATTGGTCTATTAGTGGACATTTCTGTGGTCTGTATGTTGTTGCATCTCTGAAGTGGCATTCTCGTTTCCTAGTGCAAGGCGCTCATTTGCTGGGCTGAATTAAAACCTTTGTAGTAATGAGGACTGCACTAGATTTCAAGTCCGCACATGCAATTTGATGCGAGTTCTTGAAATCTAGTTCAGTCCTCATGGTCGAATTTGAAATGACATCTCACAACGAATAAATCACTACTCAAAGTAAGGTGAATTAATTTTGATCCAGTTCAAGGACTGAATTAATTTCGATCCAGTCCTAGGACGGTAACAATATACTTCACCAGGTATCCAGTGTTATTATGTGAGCAAAATAAAGTAATATGGTAATATTACTCACGCATTATTAATGATTTGAGATGTGCAAGTCAACTAACATTGATTTCCGTACTAAAAACAGGTAAAAATATTTTAGGATCATGATAGTATCCTTGCAACACTCTTCTGGGTCCTTGAACAATCTTGTATTTTTAATATTTTTTTATAATTGTCATGTCATTTTTGGTAGGCCTAAATTGGGAAATTGGTAACCTGTCCGCGTACTAGATCAAGCACATCTCTATTTACTAAACAATTTAATTGCATATATATATATGTATATATATAGATCACTGAGCTTGTTCATCAACGTGACGTCACACGTAACCTGATCAACAATAAAATCTCAGGAGCGAAAGCATTTGATTGGCTGAAAGAAATGAGGTTTTACTTTGACCCTAATCAGAAAGACGTTCTCAAGCAATTATCAATCCAAATGGCGAACGCGAAGTTTAACTATGGTTTTGAATACCTTGGTGTACAAGATAAACTGGTACAAACACCTTTGACAGATCGATGTTATTTAACCATGACTCAAGCTTTGGAAGGGCGTCTTGGTGGATCACCGTTCGGTAAGGAATGACGCATTTGCATCTTTAATCCCTCCATATTATAAACCCATTGCGAAGAAGTCCCTCAGGACCTGCAAAGTTGTAAGCCACCACTCTTGTGATGTTGAATTATTAAGATTATTTCTTTAATTGGTTGATTGATTGAAGACTTCCTATTACATCCCAGTTTACTAACCGTAATACAATTAAGTTATTCAAAATTTAGTCCCTTGTGATTTAATTAATTTTTTGCTCACAGAAATGGTTTTATAAAATAAAAAGAGTGTGTATGGTATTGTTTAACTTTATACATCTGGTGTTTCAGGTCCTGCTGGTACTGGTAAGACAGAGTCGGTCAAGGCACTGGGTCATCAACTGGGACGATTTGTTCTTGTATTTAACTGTGATGAAACATTTGATTTTCAGGTAGGCTACTGAATATTTGCGGTTGAATCGGTTGTTTCCCGTCACATGTGCGAAAATGGAACGTGAAAAGGAATGGCCGAATGTTCCTCACACACGAGCAGACCAAGTATTTGTGTCACAATTGAATTTTCGTAAGAATTTTTTAGCCTTTAAACGTTTCTGCCATCGCAGTATACATACGTCAACAAGCTTTGTGGATAAGATCGTGCTATAAAAATGATTTAGACTGCTCCATGCATTTAGCCGACCTGTATAGAGTTTAGCCCACACGACAAGGTTATAACATGTGACACACATTCGCTTGGGCAATTTAATTACAAACAAACAATCAAACAAACTGCATGCTTATTTCCATAAAGTTTATAACGTAAAACTAAACAGGCCTATTGCTACTTTTCATTTTGACTTTACTGCAAAGGCTTGATATGATTTGGTATTTCTTAATACGTTACTCATATCTATTTCCTTGCAATTTTAGGCGATGGGACGTATTTTTGTCGGTCTTTGCCAAGTTGGTGCATGGGGTTGTTTTGATGAATTCAATCGTTTGGAAGAAAGGATGCTTTCTGCTGTCTCTCAACAGATTCAAACTATCCAGGAAGCTTTAAAAGAACACAAGGATAATGATGGTAGGTATAAAACTGGCTTGAACAAATGACCTTTGGTTCGGGTGAACAAACACCCTTAATTCCCCAGTAATGTCCAGCACTCTTTAGATAAACCTCTGATTTTCCACATTAAGTTTTATCACATTTCCCGCTTTTTCAATAGCGGTTACGTATAAAATAAATTTGTTTTGAGTCGTGTTTTTCCTGTCGATGTTCAAAGTAGTTCCATTCAGCTAGGGCACTGTATCACCAATATTTTTAACTGTCCTTTTCTTTAGATTCCCATATTTCTATCGAGCTTGTGAGCAAACAAGTGAAAGTGAGCCGTGATATGGCCATCTTCATCACAATGAACCCTGGTTATGCCGGACGGTCCAATCTACCTGACAACTTGAAGAAATTATTCCGTAGCCTTGCTATGACTAGTCCAGACAGACAACTGATTGCCCAAGTCATGTTGTATTCTCAAGGATTTAGGATGGCAGAGAAGTTGGCAAGCAAGATTGTGCCATTTTTCAAGTATGATTTTATTTGTTGTGTTTTAGTAGTTACCAGTGTTTGTGAAAATTCCAGACCTTGAAATCCTTGAAATTTATGAAGTTCTTGAATCTCTATATTTTTGACATATGTTTTAAATTTGTAAAGGATATAAGTTCAAATTTGCAGGCAGAAGCTCAGAGAGAGATAGAGATTTCACTAATAGAGAAGTTAGAACATTGGTTAATATACCTTTAGTGGATTGAAACTGATTAAGGCCATAGATATCTTATATACACTAGATAGTGCATCTAATTATTCTGCAATTCAAAAGGATATTCCCATGAAATGAGAAGATTCGTATGTTTTCTATTTCTTAAACAGGGAACTTAAAGATTAAGTTAAACCTGTTCCAAATACATTTTTAAACTGTTCAAATGATGAAAGTTATTGTTGTTTTTTAAGCGTTTATTAGCGAGTGTGAACTACCAACATGGCCGCCATCTATTCAAATGGGGGTAACCGCTGGAATATTCTTGGCTTCAATTTTACTAAAAGAGATGCACTATCTAGTGTATATAAGATATCTATGATTAAGGCACAATTCGAATAGTTTTACGTGCCTTTTTGCTGATCTCTACAGTATAAAGCCTTCTTTTCAGCCCTTTCCGTGGAGTGCGCCAGTGTCAGAGAAAATCCAACATTATATTAAAAGTAAAATAGTAATGCGTGTTTTCCATACTGTATATTAACAACTACTGTATCTTAACTATCAATGATTATTTGCTGATCCAGATTTGAAGGTAGAGATAATGATAATTTATACAGTGATATGGTCAACTCGAACCGACTTGACCTCGTACCTCAGTTGGTAGAGCATTGGACTAGTATCCCAAAGGTCGTAGGTTCGATTCCCACCGTGGTCAGGCAAACTTTTCAGCTTGCCCGGTGTGGATGCACACTCAGAGTAACACCACAAACATAACAAAATGGTATGTTTTCTTACCCTGGGTAATCGAGTATATCCTATCGTTAACTGATTAATGTACGTACGTTAACAGGCTTTGCTTGGAACAACTTTCCAATCAGTCCCACTACGATTTTGGACTTCGGGCATTGAAGAGTGTACTTATCAGTGCTGGTAATGTGAAACGAGAGAAAATCTCCACGATTAAAGAAGATCTCAAAGCCAAGGGTGAAGCTGTTGACGAGGCTTCTATTTCTGAAGGACTGGATGAACAACAGGTGAGCAAGCAGCGTAACACTCTAACGGGATATTTTTGTGAGTATGTTTATTATGTGGTATGTTTTCATGTTTATAATCTGGCTAATACGATTTCACTGTCTCATTATAACCATGCATCGGCTTTTCCTAGATTTTGATTCAAAGTGTATTCGAGACAGTGGTTCCTAAACTAGTGGCAGAAGACATTCCGTTATTATACAGTCTGTTGTCGGATGTCTTCCCTGGTGTGAAATATGTCGGAGCTGAAATGAGGGACTTGAAAGAAGAAATCAAGAAAGTTTGCTCCGAAATGTATCTTACATATGGAGAGGGTGAAGACGAAGGGAATGCCTGGGTCGATAAGGTTTGTTAATTTTTTGCGTGGATTTCTATGGGTAGTGTTTTAAAGGCTGGCCAATGTGTTAAGCCAGGTTGGCTATAAATGGTTGATGTAATACAGTAAAACATCACCTTCGTTTAACCTCGCCACATGTTACAGTGCTAGCCCATCGTCATCTTGCTAATATTCAAGATTGAACATGAACTCGACCCTAATACTCCTTTAACGCCCCTGCACGTATTCGACAAACCGATATAACCCTTATTTATACCTAGTCCGCTCAGGGAAGCGGGAGCACGAATATAAAATTGCACATGAGTTAATTGATATCCCATTTGGTATAGTATAATTAGGTATATTTGGCATAGTTAATTCATAGCCCATTTGGTATCGGTGTATGTTTTGATGTTTTCCTGATGTTCCGGTGTGTGTACAAGCTCTGGCAATTATAATACTTATAGAACATTTAAATACTATGATTTACACAAGAATTTGTATTTTCGTGTTATGATTTTCAACATTGTGTACTTCCAGATTTTGCAACTGTACCAGATCTCGTTAATCCACCATGGTTTGATGATGGTCGGACCCAGTGGTAGTGGGAAGAGTTTGGCATGGAGAGTTCTTCTCAAGGCTCTAGAAAGATTAGAAGGTGTTGAAGGAATAGCACATGTCATTGACCCTAAGGTACGTGTGTTATTTTACAACGAGGGAGAAATAAATGAATAACTCGTGACGATCATTCACACTTGCAGTCAATTTCTCTCTCTAGACTATACTGTACAATATGAGTTGGTAAAAGATTGTTTCTTGTTTTCTGTGTTTACAAATTGTTACTCGGAGTATGGGTTTTTCACATAGATATCTTATATACACTAGATAGCACATCTCTTTTAGTAAAATTGAAGCCAAGAATATTCCAGCGGTTACCCCCATTTGAATAGATGGCGGCCATGTTGGAGTTTCCTACTCGCTAATAAACGCTTAAAAACAACAATAACTTTCATCATTTGAATACTTTGAAAATGTATTTGGAATAGGTTTAACTTGAGCAATGTTTAAGTTCCCTGTTTAAGAAATAGAAAACATACGAGTCTTCTCATTTCATGGGAATATCCTGAGTCTGCAATCACTGCTTCAATTTTTGAATTGCAGAATAATTAGATGCACTATCTAGTGTATATAAGATATCTATGGTTTTTCTATATCAGTCGTGTATCACAAAACGTAGACACAAAATTACCATAGTGCTTGTGCCAAACGATTTTAAATAGTTTATAAAAACTAACTTTTGTTGTATATCCTTGATGTACGGGTATAGCTAAATATTTTATGTATTGTACTTCAGGCGATGTCAAAAGATGAACTGTATGGTACTCTAGATCCAAACACCAGAGAATGGACTGATGGTTTATTCACTCATTTGTTGCGAAAGTAAGTTACATATTCTTTTTGTGTTGTTTATTTCAAACATTTGTGTTGTTCAGTCCAAATAGAATCATTGTTTTTAAAATTCCTAAATATCCCATTCGGAAACCATGGTCTCTGCATTAGTGTACCGGCACTCGATTGAAACACTCACTAGATACGGCAGTTCTAATGTGGTTAAACAACTCATTCTGTTCAGCTCGTAAACTTTCATAGCTCTTATAAGCACTCCATTAACACTTTCATTGCAACCCTAATAATTTAAATGAATATGGGTCTATTGCAATGAATGTTTCATTAAATCTAGTAAATAACCTGTGAGGAAGAGGAATTTTTCTTCGCCATTCCCATCATGCATCACACATCTCCGTCCACTGATTTATATATGTACAATATGTACTCGTAAGTCATAATTGACGACTGCGTACCAGTCAGGGGAAGAGACGTTTATCACAAAATGCCGATTTGACCGGGGCGTTTAATAAAAAATTGGCATTTATTAGGGTAACATTACTTGGGTTCAAAAAAAAATTAATACATGAAGTATATACAAATCATCACAATTTGTAATTCATTTTCTCATTATTCGTGTAGAATTATCGACAATGTACGAGGAGAGCTTGGTAAACGTCAATGGATTATATTTGATGGTGATGTTGATCCTGAGTGGGTTGAAAATCTCAACAGTGTGCTTGATGACAACAAACTACTGACTCTTCCAAACGGAGAACGATTGGGAATCCCACGAAATGTATGATTTATTTTACCTCTTTAAGTTAGTTAACAATTTATTGTACAATTTGAATATTTTCATACGACATGTAATATGTCACTAAAGTAATGAAACGTATCTCTTCAGAGTCCTAACAGGGAAAGATATGAAAACGTTTTCTGTACAGTAGAGAGTTGTTAACACTACTGTATATGATGTGTACATTAAACAGGGTGTATAGTACTGTTCAGTTATAGTTTGAAGGGACGTCCATTTCTGCTGACAAAACACCGGTGCTCACTGCATGGGGAGTCTCTACCATGCTTTGATCATTTTCAGACGTTACACCACGAGTGTTGTGCCGTCAACCGAAGGAAAAGTTTAAAATGTGCACAGACTACAATCAAAATCACGTTACTTGAATTTCTCATTCTGTTGTTTATAATTTAGGTGCGTATAATGTTCGAAGTTCAAGATCTACGTTACGCTACATTGGCAACAGTCAGTCGATGTGGTATGGTGTGGTTTAGTGAGGATATAGTATCTACAGAAATGATCTTTAGTAACTACCTGACAGAACTTAAGGCTAAGCCTATTGAGGAGATTGAAGAGGATGTTGGTTTGAGAAGACAAACCAAGAAAGGCGAAGATAGTGCTTTGTCACCAGCAATGCAGGTACCTGTCATCTGATTTAGTTGAAATACTGTATCACTTTTTGTAAAATAAAACAGATACTGAAGAAAAGCAATGAGTTTAATAATTATGACAAATTTCACAATACATAGATAATTATGACAAATTTCACAATACATAGCATTTCGTCTTTTTTACAAAAGCATAGCCTTTTAAAATTTTAATAATTTTGTTAGTACATACTTTGAGGTTTAAAAAATGCTTTTCGCAGGTGTTTGTTTTATTCTTCTTTAACTGTCGGGTGGTTATATATTGTTACACCTTTTACCACTCTGGAACAATAGGGGCAGGTTGGATATTAATGAAGAAGGATGTGAGTGCCACCTTCTCCTAAAACCATTGCACGTAGCCACTTAGTTTATAATTGAAACCTTTTTTGCTTTGCAACGACGTACGTCTGATTCATTGTATTCACTATAATATCACAGAATAAAGACAAACAGAAAGTCGACTCAGCCAAAAAAGCGTAACCACTGCCACGCCATGATTCGTCATCGAAATGCTGACGCCATGTGCCTAGACAGTGCGCTTATGAAAGGCATTCCCCCTGCATGACGTACGTCCGCCATTTTGAATATTATCAGGGGGGTGAATGCCTCTCATAAGCACACTGGCTGGGACCATGGCGTCAGCATTTTGATGACGAATTATGGTTACGCCAAAATGATAGGAAAAACCAAGAAGTCGGGCTTCTATATAGTCTCTATTCTGTGTTAATATGTATTCTAATTTGCTCGACGTCAAAATCGGCGGGTGTCGCTCCGCTATAGTGCCTTACTGACCTGACATCCCTATCTATATGACACAACTTTTTTTTCTCAAACTCCTAGGTTCAAAATGATGCAGTGAATATTGTTGCCGAGCACTTCACGTCTGGTGGCTTGGTCATGAAATGTTTGGAATATGCGATGGGACAAGAACACATCATGGATTTCACTCGACTAAGAGCCTTGGGTTCTCTGTTCTCAATGTTCAAGCAAGCTGTACACAACGTGATCACATACAATCAACAGCATCCCGACTTCCCAATGGAGGTATTGCACCACTATAAATATATTGGTAATAATGTTTGAATTCAATTTCTAATTGAGAGGGTGATATATGGCCTTACTTGGTTTATAATATCAAACATATGATGTCGTATTCAGTTTCTGGCGGTCTGCATGCACAACTTCGAAAAAAAGTTATTTCGCGATAATGGTTTTGCCCTGTTGCGATTTGCTTGTGGTTTTAACTAGTCATCCAGTTTTGATTCTTCTCGCAATGTTCTCGTTGACTGGAAAGATATACCCTTATAAGTAGATATTCCCCAGCAGTTATCAAGTACTTTCATTGATCTTTCTTTGCTCGCTCCTTTGCTCATGAATTTTGATCGATATTTGGCGACATATTAAGTTTTGTCCAGCCGTTTACATCGAAATAGTTGAGTTACTTTAATATTTTTCGTTTGTTTTGAAAACATCTTACAGTATTTATGGATAGTTTACGATTTCTGGCACAATACGACAAAGAATATACTTTATAACTGCAGTATACTTTAGTATACTTTAGTATAGTAACTATAGTATACTTTATAACTGCAGGTCAGTTGGCCGAAGTGCAATCGGATGGCGATTTAATATAATTAAGCTACATGCACTTAGCAATATATTTCCTCATTTGTGATTATTCACGTTAATTTTATAATTTCACTGCAGTTTTAATTTAAATTCAGTCGTTTATAGTGGGCTGCCTATGATTGAACGTGCTTGGCCTTGGGCCACTTGCATGTTTAGTGTATAATTAAAATATACTTTGAGAACAAATTTCATTTAAATTTGTCTCGCTCTCTTGTTTTCCTAGTATGCAAACTATTAATAACATCCGAAACAGAGGTTTGACTATATATGTTTTTGTTTTGTCTTTCTTTTTTATAAACAATATTTATTAACTTTGAAACAAATGATAGCGATATTAATTCTATTACAACGATGTTTCGATGTTTTTTGTCTTGCGCATTTAGTAAAATTGTGCATGCTTGCGCAATTATTTGTTTACGTGACACGAACACGCTATAATTAAAGCTAAATGCGAATAACCATGCAAGAAGCATCAAAACATCGTTGTAATAAAATAAAATTAAATTAATATCGCTATCATTTGTTTCAAAGTTAATAAATATTCTTTATTAAAATCTTTTGTGAATATTATTATATTAATTTTATTTTATTACAACGACGTTTCGATGCTTCTTGCATCATTTTCAAGTTAAAGATAAGAATTATTCGTATTTATAGCTTTAATTATAACGGTCCGCGTGTTCGTGTCACGTAAATAAATAATTGCGCAAGCATGCAAAATGTTACTAAATGCGCTAGTCTAAAAATACTAAAATATTAAAAACATTTAACTATTTACACATACAAAACAAGAGACAAACACAACAACAAGATTAACAAATTAGTATTAAACAAAAAGCTTAGAACGTATCGAGTCCGACTGAGTGTTCAGAGATGGCGTCAGTTTCCTAATATCCATATAAAGCATCTCGCAGAGAAGGCACTCGTAAAAATATATGTAAAATTATATGGGCTATCTGTAGGGTGAGTTTCCCTGAATCAATAAATACATATAGTTTGCTATTTATATGAGATATCCAGCATGTGCCTGCAACAGCTTTCATGATAAATTGTAATTTTAATTGTCCAACTTGTATTGCATTAATCATTATAGACAAACTTTAATTTGTGAATATATATATAAATATCGAATGAACTTTTTATGCCTTTTTATGCCTTTGCAAAACTGTAGAAAAGCAAGGCCAACCTTGAACCTTCAACCTGCGGCCAGAATTACATCTTTTCATATCCTGTCATTACTAAAAACGCGGCAGGTGCGAGAAAAACAATGCAGATAAAAGCCAAATGACCGCGAAAAGGACTTAGCTGCACTTAGTTAGAAACTTTACAGTAATTTTGAGCAATATCAATTAAGAGAGCCGCAGAATGTCCATTTCAATATCTGCTGTCTATACTTGTTCAATTCTTCACAAGAATTAGTCGCTCAATAATGGAGCTCCGCTATTTTATTAGCCTGATATTCATATTTGCCTTGAATGTATTGTTCTTTTTCTCAGGAATATGTTTAAATTCCGTGGTCATACTCAGTGTCTGGAGATCTGCACAACTTCGAAAGAAATTATGTTATTTCATGATAATGGTTTTGTCCTGTTTCGACTTGCTTGTGGTTTTATCCAGTCATCCATATACGGCTCGTATCGCGATGTTATGGTTGACTGGAAAGTTGGATGTATACCCTAGCGGGGTGGATATTCCCACATGGATAACAAATATCTTCATCGCTTTTTCTTTACTCGTTCTTTTGGTGATGAATTTTGATCGATATTTGGCGACATATTATCCTATCTTTCATCGAACATCGGTAACAAAGGGAAGACTTTTAACTCTTCTTGCAATACTCATTATTGTTTTCCTTACTTTCGCACTGATGGCTGCAAACGACTTTTTTATTTCCTATGAAGTTGGTGTTATAACGTTTTTTATTATTGTCTTTCCTCCAATGGTGTTCGTCAACTACAAATTGTTCACAATTGCAAGGAAAAGTCGTAGAATATCTCCCGAGATGAAAAAATCGTTTTCTTTGAAAAATATATCGAGTTGCTTGCTAGCAGTCGCTTGTTTTGTGGTGCTGCTATCCATTCCAGTGTTTGTCTTCCTTGGGCTAAAAATTGGGCTGAAAGAGAACGAACTTACTTTGAATAATGCAAACGTTGCAGGACTCTGGTCTCACACTATAGTCTCGATGAATGGTACATTTAACTGCTTAATCTTTTACTGGAAAAACAAGATTTTGAGCACCGAGGGAATGAAAATTATTAAAAGCCTGAAAGTATGTCGAAGAACGAAGAGTCCAATTCTAATCTGATGAAAGAAGAACCAAGCAAAATATATTGGAGAGGAATATGCACATATTGTTAGCACTGATGAAGATCCGGACTCACGTATCGAAAGCTTTGCAGTAATAAATTTACGTGGTGTTTCCACAAACAAAGTATCATATGTTTTATCACCATGCAATCCTGCAGAGAACTTATTTTGGAGTTTGAACTATAAACAAGTAATAAAAAACCCATAAATTTTTAAAATGTGACAACAGTAAAACTATAAGTATATGGAATTGCCATCCGCCAGCAGCTGCATGCCTCTAACACGAGACAGCTGAAATATTCTTTCTTTAAAATGAAAAGTGTTGAAGCTGAAGGCCGCAAGGTTTCTTCGAGTACTTTAAAACATAAACAGCATAAATGAATGTTGTTTATTGGTGCGGCACAGACCCCGGAATGAACAGTGTAGAACCGATGTCGAAAACAGTAATGATGAGCGTGGTTGAAAGTGCAACTATACTTAATTGAGAACAAACTTCGACCGCCTCGTTGTCAGAGTTTGTTCTTTTTGAAGAATAAAGCTTAGGTGCCCTTCTGTAATAACTGTAATGGAGCAATAAAGATATGCTGTACCTATATATCGATATCGGTTTAGAATTGATAAAGCTATATCTATATTATATAAATAATTTTAGTCTACTGTAGCTTAGGTTTTTTGTTGTATAGTGATACTGAACTAAAATAACATGGTTATAATTTGGTCATTCAGGAGAAATGGTTTAATCAAGTATAGCTAATGTTAGATGTATATAGTTTTTTTATGAGCACTAGTCTAGCATACGATCTGAATATGCTTTACTTTATAATCAAATTAAAACTGTGCACATTTATGTTAATGGTTTGTGTACTGTTGCGATTTGCTTGTGGTTTTCACTAACAATCCAATGACGGCTCTTCTCGCGATGTTGCGGTTGAACGGAAATGCATACTCTTATCGTTGGCTGTATATCCCCTTACATATAGCATCTTTTTTCTTTGCTCACTCTTTTGGTCATGAATTTTGATCGCCATCTTATCCTATCTTTCACAACGGTTATCGAAGGAAAAACTTTTAATTCTTACAATACTAACTATCGGGGAGGTAACTCTGCTGCTGATATCTAATGCAAACGTTCTTTCCTATTCCGAAGCGAAGGCGAGGTGATTATCGATGAATAAAAACCGAGACGAAGTCGAGGTTTTTATTCACGATAATCACCGAGCCTCAGGTGATTAATTGTTTTAGTATAATTTGATAGGTGATTATTTGGAATAAAAAATACATATTTCTTCGTCATTTAATTGACAAAACGACTTCTGCCGCCATTTTGAAAATCGCTTAGGTGATTATCGGGTTATAATCACCTCAACGGCAACCAATCAGCGTGGAGAATTTTCAATAATCACCTATGACTATGTAATTATACTAAGTTGTTATTCTGTTCACAATCGCCAGAAAAAGTCGTAGAAACAAGGGAATACCACCCGATATGAAAATGCCGTTTTTTTAAAAAATATATCTAGCTGCTTGTTCAGTGATCGTCTACATTGGACTATCAATAAACTTGAAGGCCCTTTGTTGGGATGTTAGCAGCGTGGGTCGGGTTATAGCCCCCCCCCCCCCCTTCTGGTAGTCCCCCAGTCAAGAACTACTGGGAAAATAAGCCCCCAGGGGTCTAACTAGAGAAAATACGGTATGTAAGGAGCCGGAGCGACTTTCCTGAAGAGTCGCAGAATTATAATTTCACAAGAAACTATCCAGCTTAATATGCAATAACACGTTGCGTGTGTTGCCACGAACGTTGCCTTTGACACTCAAAAAACAATTACCCCCATTGCTTGTCAAGAATCTACAACAACATCACAACCTTAATTGATTTTCCAGCGTGATCAACTAGAGAAATACCTACCTCGCTATTTGGTCTACAGTTTACTGTGGTCATTCTCTGGAGACTCCAAGATGAAGTACCGTGAAGAACTTGGTAAAATGGTCCAGAAGATAACGACCATCCCATTGCCAAACACATCTGTTATGCCACTTATTGATTACGAGGTATATTATTGTTTTATGGGTGTATGATATTTGCAGCTTTTTACCATATTTTGGACCTAATCTAAAGGATTATTTTCTCAAAAATATTGGTTTACCAAAAGGACATGATTTTTCAAACCCAACAAAATTTCCAAAATATGCAAAGATTTCGTCAGGCTTGTCTAGAACTTTATCGCTACCTTGATAATTTCAAAGTTTAACTCCTGCTTAAAATTTATAAAGAACTACGATTAGCCTGGGTTTGCTGAAATAGTTGGTTTTTGACTAGACATTAGTATATATTATACATTCATTAATATAAATATAGTTCTTAAAATGTTCATTAACCGCACGATTTCGTGTATGTTTCTAACGATTTCCAGGTTACCATCCAAGGAGAATGGGTTCCATGGCAATCAAAAGTTCCCAACATTGAAGTAGAGACTCACAAAGTTGCTGCTCCTGACGTTGTTATTCCAACAGTTGATACAGTACGACATGAAGTATTGCTGTACACTTGGTTAGCTGAACATAAACCGCTGGTTCTGTGCGGGCCACCAGGAAGTGGGAAAACAATGACGCTGTTCTGTTCGTTGCGGTCTTTACCTGATATGGAGGTTTGTTAATAGGTTTAACAAAAATTAATACATAATGTTACGCATATTAATTGTACTATATACATAATGATGATAAACGTGAGAAGTAATGTAAAATCATATTTCCGAAATAAAATCGTAACATAACATAAAACCGTATTTCGAAAATATGTATTGTTAAGGCTTGTACTTTCTTTCAACAAAGTTAGTTTGACCATGCATGTGAAGCAAAAATTTGAAGACGAGTTACGCGCTACTTTCGAGAGAAAAAAGTCGTCTGTACACCCAAGGGGAGCGATTAGACTTCAGACGTTTTGCAATACGATGTACTATTTTACATTTTTACATATTTCCAGAATACAGCCCTTCCTGAACCAGGCTGGGTAGACAATGCTTTAGTGCCATTGCCCATATCGTTGCAAAACACTTTTGATATGACAAAAATGTCATTAACAGTGTCCAAAAAACGATACGGTAATGATTTTCGTACTGTTTAACTAAACATCTTAATCGAAGTAACGGACTTGAATTGAACAGAATTTTGCTCATTTTAATTTAGGTGGTAGGTTTGAATTTCTCCAGCGCTACAACACCAGAATTGTTACTCAAGACATTTGATCATTACTGTGAATACAGAAGAACACCCAATGGAGTCGTTATGGCGCCTGTACAACTTGGAAAATGGCTCGTGTTGTTCTGTGATGAAATCAATTTACCAGATATGGATAACTACGGTATTGTCTTTACGTTTTTGCAGATACAGTATGTAAAACATTCTACTTCCAAATAAAACTCTTTTTTGCTTAAGCATATCGCATTAATATCGTTTTGTGCCTGCATCATTTTTAGGTTTGTATGGTAGTTATTGTTAAAAAATTCATCTCACTCGATTCAGTAATAGTTGAAGGGTGTTGTTGATGGAAATTATCGAGTGGAAATTATACATTTTATTAGACCTGACCAGCAACAGCTGCGAAAAATGCAAGTATAGGTCTCTGGCAGGAATCGAACTAGCGGCCCTGCGGTGCAGCGCTCTATACTTATTTATTATATACACAAGGTCTGGATATGAGGTATTCTGCAATCTGATTGGTTCTCTACCAGCACGATATAACCAATGATATTAGCTCATATCCTGCTAGTAGAGAAAAACAAAATGGCGGCTCAAACTGAATTTCCGACGTTTTTCGAATGAGAAAACGGCAAGTTGTTCGCTTTTTATAGCCTTTACAGGATTAAAAACACAATGAAAAAACTCCTACCAATTGTTTACAGGTTAGCAAATTAATTTTTAAAATTTAAAAAGGTTGAAAATATATATTTTTCATAAAATATCGGCCAAAAGAGCGAAGCTAAAAACATAAACAAAATAGAAAAATATTGAAAATATCCGAAAAGCAAAGTCTATGAATTCAGACCTTGTGTATATAATAAAACAGTTATTCCACTCACTCTCATCGAATATGAGCGATAGCCGATTCGGCGCTACGCGCCCCTCATCGGTTATCAGCTCATATTCGACTCGAGTTCGTAGAATAACTGTTAAATATACATGAACTTGTGGTTAGAGCTCGACAACTGGCTTCTGTAGCTCAGTTGGTTACAGTGCTGCACCGGAATGGCAGGGCCGCAGGTTTGATTCCTGCCAATGTCCTATATAGTTGCATTTTTCGAAGCTGTTCCTGGTCAGGTCTAATAAAAATGTTTATAAATTTTCATGTAATAAATTTTACTATTTTAAAATGTGCCTTATAAGTTCAAAAGGTGCCTGCGCGGATTTTAATGATATCAGCAACATTAATACAGCAATTTGCAACGATACATATGAATATATTGTTTCCAATCCTTTGCTGTTAGGCACTCAGAGGGTGATTTCATTCCTGCGACAAATGGTGGAACACAACGGCTTCTATCGTTCAGTCGATCAAGCCTGGGTGAAGTTGGAGAGAATTCAGTTTGTTGGGGCTTGTAATCCTCCTACTGATCCGGGCAGAAAACCGCTCACTCACAGGTACCTGTTCATTTTGTTCACGTAAACTGCTATGGTCCTTTGTGTTGGTTGTATAACGTACGCACGGTGGCGAGGTTTACCATGCAAGTGGATTACGCATTGCATCAGTCTGCACAGACTGATGCAGTGCGTAATCAACTTTGAAGTCAAGTGAAATTTCACTGTTGACAGTGTTATTGAAATCTCGTATACATTGGCAAAATGTTAGAAAACATATGCATCAAGGTCCAGTTGGAGCTTGTTACTTGTTTTGTCACATCGAATAACTGTAAAATAGATAGACTCATTTCTAAGCTTTATTAAACTGTCATTAAGAGATTAGAATGTTTTCATGACTAACTAGACAACTGGGTTTTTAGTACATTTGGCTACGTTTTCCTGGAAAAAAATGACGTATGTGACAAAGGTTGTCTTTTGTGTCGTATCTCGATTCCACCAATTGCCCTGTCTCCCCGTCTCCACAGTGAACAAATAATGCGTGTCTTTACACGTGTTTGATATTCTGTCTAGATTTTTACGTTATGTCCCTGTTGTGTACGTGGACTATCCTGGTGCAATATCTCTCACGCAAATTTATGGCACTTTCAACCGTGCAATGCTGAGGTTGATTCCATCTTTGAGAAGCTCTGCCCAACAGCTTACAGACGCTATGGTGGAATTTTATACAATGTCGCAGGTACTGTCGAACGTTTACTGGACATTTAAATATTACAGTTAGTTGACATGTGATTACAGGCTTCTGTGACAATTTAGTGATCAATGATTGCCATTCGTTCTGTAGAAAGACAATTTCTATTATGCATGGTTTGTTTTTTATTGACGCGTCAGGCAATCACTGGCAATTTTATACGTTTTTAAAAGCGCTGCTGTTATGTCTAATTCCACTTATTCGCATCGGTGAGGGAAAGAAAAATTGCCGACAAAGTTGCATAAACCAGGTTTTAATTATTTATGTCTACCGTACTTTGCTACTTTCCTTCCAGGAACGATTCACTCAAGATATGCAGCCCCACTACATCTACAGTCCTCGTGAAATGACTCGCTGGGTTCGTGGTATCGTTGAAGCTTTACGACCGCTGGAGACTCTGTCAGTTGAAGGATTGGTCAGACTGTGGGCTCATGAAGCACTACGTCTCTTCCAAGACAGGTACGTTATGAACTATTCAATAGGGAGATTAAGCAAGCGACGTTTTTGTCAACACGGACGTTGGATTGCCGAGGGGGGGGGGGATTAAAAACTGTGTTTGTATCAGTTAGTGGTAATCTTCAACACATCTGACAAAACATAAGATTTTTAAAGTTTTTTGCTTCCTTACACGAACGCTATGATGCAAAATGCCGCCATAATTAGTCCTACCAATTTTCGGGTGACGTCCGTGTTGACAAAAACGTCGCTTGCTTAAGCTCACTAATATTTGCGTGAGTACCTTAATCACATACGTTAGAAGGAGAAACAAAGCAACAACTTTCCCGGTGTAAAATGGTTGTAAAATCTGGCTATTCATCTGGTGGTGCTCTTTGGGAGCATCTATATTAAGTTTGTACTTTGTAGCAGAATGCATATAAAGTCAAGATAAGAATATTGTTCAATAATAACTAGCTTACGAATTCAAGTTATGTACAAAATCTAATAAATATACTGTATAATATAGTGGTTAGTATGTGTCTTCGAAGTCTCACTACGTGGTTGTTTAAGTCATTTTGCCTCAGTGGCACGATTGCTTCTAGGTTGACAATTCCCCGATTTCCTTTCTAATAGCACTGCTGTTATATCCTATTTAATACATATGGTTCGACTTCTGGATTTACAGTGTGTACTAAATAATGTACGGTTATTTGTTTAATCATGTGGTAAACCAGTTATCATAAAACATCAAAGAAAAATACAAAATTCGTCACATTGTTGTCTTAATCCTTTTGAGTTTTGTCTGTTAAGTAGAGGCTATTCCTAAAACTGAGGCAATGTTTTGTTGTAAGGTTGGTGACGGATGAAGAACGCAAATGGACAGAAGATAATATTGATGCGGTAGCAAAGAAATATTTTCCAACCGTCGACCACGAGACTGCATTGAAGAGACCCATATTGTACAGCAACTGGCTTACTAAGGACTACACACCTGTGGAACAAGAGGAGTTACGAGAATTTGTGAAAGCCCGTTTGAAGGTAATATGCTGTAGGTTGCTCCTAATTTAGCATCGTGTATAAACCAAACATCTTAAGACTGCTAGCGATGCATTTCATGTGGAATTTTGAAGTCTCTGGAAATATGGTTTGGGACAAAATATGTATATCTGTGCTTATTCTATATTAATCCTATCGATATTCGCGACAGGAATATTTTACAATTAATCAAGTACGCCCATGGACATTTTCTTACCTAAACTGTATCGTTAATTATTTTGTTGTACAGCATTAAAGTTTATCAGACTATGATAAAACATAATAATGTGGTCTGCTAGAACCAGTATCTATGTTGTGTGTAGGTGTTTTACGAAGAAGAACTGGACGTCCCTCTTGTGTTGTTTAACGAAGTTCTCGACCACGTCTTGAGAATTGACAGAATTTTCAAACAACCACAGGTCAGCTCACGTCCTTGATAAATATTTTATTTCTATAGTGTAACTATAGGTACCTTTTTTGAAAACGAAGTTGTTCGTTCCTTCTCTTGAAATGAACCTATAAATAAATCGTAATTGCCTTCATAAGGGGAGGGAGATGAGCGAGGGGTGCGTAGCGCCGCCCAGCAAGCTGCAGCAGGAGCCTGCATGGGCCATAGGTGCTAATGGGGTAACCCCCAGGAAATTTTGGTCTTATTTAGTTTAAAATTCTTATTCAATCACACTACTGCCATTTAGTCCGATGGGCATTTAAATTTCGGGGGTTCAAATTTCTCTAGGTGGGGTGGGAAAACTTTCTGAGGGGATGGAAAAAATTTGAGAGTGTGCACCCCCCTGCACCCAAAGAAAACCCGTCAATATTGTCTTGTTTAGCAACCGAAATTGAATATTTGTAACTATTTTAGGGCCATTTGCTATTGATTGGTGTCAGTGGGGCAGGCAAGACCACTCTTTCTCGTTTTGTGGCTTGGATGAATGGATTGAGTGTTTTCCAGATCAAGGTAAGCGCACAAATGAAATTTTCCTATTGGGGACAAAGCAAAATAAAAACATTTTCAAGCAATAAAACTACTCGTTTAAGCGCCGCGGTGCTCTTTAATTTTTTAGTGTTACGAATGCGGCGCTTGTTCGAGGGCTGCGCTCTTTATAAAATATTTTATTTGTAAGCGATAACAAAAAATATTAGCAACAACGTATAACATAAAAACACTAAAATGCAGGAAAAAGAGAGTTCCGAGGTTTGTTAAAGATTGCAACCTCGTACCCAGGGCATTTTGCCTCCGCGGTTGGGCGTCACCATAGATATCTTATATACACTAGATAGTGTATCTAATTATTCTGCAATTCAAAAATTGAAGCCGTGATTGCAGTCTCAGGTCGTTCCCATGAAATGAGAAGATTCGTATGTTTTCTATTTCTTAAACAGGGAACTTAAACATTAAGTTAACCGTATTCCAAATACGTTTTTAAACTATTCAAATAATGAAAGTTATTGTTGTTTTTAAGCGTTTATTAGCAAGTGGGAACGACCAACATTGCGGCCACCTATTCAAATGGGGGTAACCGCTGGAATATTCTTGGCTTCAATTTTACTAAAAGAGATGCGCTATCTAGTGTATATCAGATATCTATGGGCGTCATGAACATTTTTTCAGTGATCCGATGTTGTAAATAATACAAAATGAAAATAGGACATATATAGTAGGTATATATGACAATGTTGCCAGGAACCTGTATTAGCAGGAGTAGTTACAGTGAGAGGTACTGATCTATTATATACTGTATTAGTTGTGAGTGTTGCTTAAATAGTAGAAAAAAATAGAAAAAGGCCTGCACTGGAACCTGACGGCTTAGATGACTTATTCTTTTTCTTAAATTTCTTTCTACTTTCTTTCGGACATTTTTGTTACTCGCTTGGTGAAACTTAGAATTACAGAGCAAAAGAAGAAGGACGAAAGCATTCAATAGTATTTTGTTCTTTTTTAAATAGATTCATCGCAAGTACACGTACATCGAATTTGATGAGGATTTGAGAAATGTTCTGCGAAGATCGGGATGCAAGAATGAGAAGATTGTGTTTATTTTAGACGAGTCTAACATGCTTGAGTCAAGTTTCTTGGAAAGAATGAACACCTTGTTGGCAAATGGAGAAGTAAGCTCAAAGCAATTTTAAGAAATTATGATTGAGAGAAGGCCAACATTGTCTTAAATCAAACAAATGAAGATTTTAGTCGGACCAAAAAAGTGAAATATGATTCAATCTTCAAGATAGAATTCTTCATTCCAAAAGATAGAAACAACCACAATAGTCCACTACAATTAATCAATTTTAATAAACTATGAACTATTATTTTAATCAAGGGAAAACCTTCAGAGAAGAATGTACAGTTGTACGAGTACCCTAGAATACTAGATCGATTTTTTGAGACCATCCAATAATCAGAACCATCTAGACCCAATTCCGCCCCGAATTCGTGGATTCCAGTGACATTGTATTATGTTGAAACCTCGAATGACCCAATAGGAGAACAATTTTCACCCCATTGAATTATCAGAACCAATGTCGAGTATACTATTTCTGAGTCGTATTTACGTAGCTACGTTAGTGAGTTAAAAAGACACATTTCGTCACATGTAAAACAAGTTTTTGCGTTCAAATATTTTTCTCCAGTTTCTTAACACATGCGCATGATCGTTTGTGTCTTTCAGGTTCCGGGATTGTTCGAAGGAGACGAGTATACTACTTTAATGACCCAGTGTAAGGAGGGTTCGCAACGTGATGGTCTAATGTTGGATTCCAGTGAAGAGTTGTACAAATGGTTTACAGAACAGGTAAGAATTGAGCTATACTGTATCACGTATTAGTATTGTGATAAATCACATGGTAGATTAAACTATACAATGGTTAAGAATTAGCATTACGGGTGAAGCTAAATTTCTTTTCCAATGCCAATTTCCGCTACTTGGCAAAATCTCTAAATATCTGTTGTTCCTCAATTGTAGAAACAATATCATATGGTAACTTGCCAATGTTTAATACTTTTTGTTTGTGGAAACACCACGTAAATTTATTACTGCAAAACATTCGATCCGTAAGCCCGGATCTTCATCAGTGCTAATAATACGACATAGTATTACGAGTACTGTTAATCCCTAATTGTACGAACAACATCGCATAATTACTTTGTTTATTATTAGCATGACAAAATTGGATACTTCTCAATGTCAACATCATATTCTCTCGCCCAAAGCCCAGTCCTGCCAGACTTTCAACCAAAATTTGGTGCTTTTGTTCGTATTTTCATTTGGTTCTTTTGTTAAAGCAAAATTTGGTGCTTTTGTTCGTATTTTCATCTAGTTCCTCTAGGGCAATTTCATTTCACATTTGTGTTTAAAATACCTTTCCGCCATTTTGTTTGTTTTGTGAAAATCATTAATTGTACTGCAGTACAATCAATGAAATAATTGTACTCCTCTCAACCAATCAGCATCCAGTAATTTTGTCATGCTAATAATAAAGCTCCTAATTATGATGTCGGAAGTTCTTTCTAGAAATTACTAACAAAAACGTCAGTATGCTGTAAACACACCGAATATAATGAGTATTTGAAACCTTTCACCAGGCATTTGTAACACCATTAAAAAAGAAAGTTAAATGTTGCTAAGCCCGAGTGGTATTGTGAATATTTTGTTTCCTTTAAATATTTTTCCTATTCAAGCATTGATGTCATACTTTGATTATGAAAAGAAATGTCTTCAGCCAATCTAAAACGAATACAAGTGACTAAAATTATATTAGTGGGACTGCCTCCTCCGCAGGCCCTTCGTTGGACACAGTGCAGTGCAATCTATACAGATCAGTAGCTGTGATAAGTTGCCGAGCAATGCTTAGTGGGAGAACATAACTGAGTTATAGGATCGTAAATTAAACACCAGAATGTTTATGCTTGAGCGTTCACTACTTTCGTAACAATAACATAACATTGACTTTGCTCACTTATAAAATGTGCATATAAAAATAAGCAATAAATCTGAAATAATGAATATTCAAGTCGCAAGTAGGCCACATAGGTAATTTAATCATTGCGTGTCAAGACAAACAAAATATATTGAAAATTTGCCCAAAACCTTTTATTACATTAGCCTGTCACAAAAAATATATTTCTGTCAATCAGCTGGTTTAAATTGTGGGGATTGAAATTATTCATTAGACAATAAACTTAATTACTATTTGTATAATTGCTACTCAGATGAAATAAGGCCTATAGCTAACTATGACACGCGTAGGACCTAACAACGTTTGTAATGTTTATAAGTTGAATAGTAGCCTATTTTAGAGTGTTGATATATTTCTGCATATATTACACAAAAGACAACCTAGTATCCAGGCTATTTCATTTCGATTATCATGGCTTGGTCCCAAGAGCCGCGACCAAATGGAACCTATATGATTTGAAGACAATTACGATTTGTGTCACAGCAGTTCAGGATCAAAACCCATTCAAAAACAAACTGAATCTGCTCCCGAATAATCCCCCTCGTCATGTTTTTTTACACAACTTCATTCAACACAATGACGTCAAGTCATTTTGCGGCCAATGATAAACTAAGCTTTGATTTCAGACATATTTTCGCTTGCTGCATGCTCTGGATTAAGTAAATGAATGTATTCCCCGGTCGACGTACGTTCATGACCCAATGTTTCGACCCCCGACTAGTGTCTTCATCAGGTTAATCCAGGGTTAATCCAACACACTGGGAGGAATGACGTCATCGGCCAACAAGGTGGGAGATCGCTACAGTTGTTTTGGTTCAAAACATGATTCATGCTTATAGTAATTTTGCAATGACGTTGTGATCGGCAAAGGTGATTTCACCTTTTCTACAATGGGAACTGCCAGCCAGTCGATTTTCGCTTATTTAACCCTGTGCCAAATTGTTGTTTTGCCTGATAATTGCAAAAGAAACATTTCTTGTTAAGGAAGAGGACATCTACTATATAATTATTATGTCCCTGCTTATATACAAATCATTGAGGGCGTTTATATGAGTTAAAACTATGATGGAACAGCTGCTCGCAACGCTGGTTGCAGCTGGTCTACTAGATTGGGTTTCCTAAATTATAAAAGTTAAGTCAACGGTTGCTGTTCTTTCAATCGGAACAATTTTTGGCGTCTCGAGATTTTGGTGCAAAAATCATTGGAGAATGAACATTGCTTTCAATGCATCCAGAGTAATTCCAAGTACTTCACATGGATATGGCTATAAGTCAGCTATTACATTTGTTATAACATTTGGAATTATTGGTAACATTCTTGTTATTTTATCCATTTTATTAAGGCAGAGACGACTTCTCAAAAATAAATTCTATTATCTTGTTTTCCATGTGACAATTTGCGACCTTAGCTATCTGTTGCTTTCTGTCTTCTACGTTTATGTTATTTTGGCTGGTAAAGAGCTAAACTACCAAAGTCGTTCAGTTTGTATAGCGTTTCGGTTTTTTCGCGAACTCTTTCTTATCTTTGGAGCATATTTCCTGTTGGTTATATCAATAATTCGTTACCGCGCTGTTCTTCATCCATTGACACCATCCGTTTCATATGGACGCTTGAAAGTTCTTTCTTGCTTTGTGTATATATTATCATTGCTCATCTCCTGCCCAATAATTTATTTCTGTGTCAACGAGTATCCGTCGAGCGTTTCACAAGCTTATGAAATCATGGTCCAATGTGTGATGACCTTTATTTGGTATTTTCTTCCTGTAACAATTATGGCTGTTATTTATTGGAAGATATGTCGAGAGTTGATAAAGCAAAATAATGTCATGAAATCCACGAACTCAAGTCCAACTAATTGCGGAAAGTTGAAGAGGCTGGTGCATCATCGAAATTGGCGAACATTTCTAGTGTCTTTAGCTACTGTCGTTTGTTTTGCCGTCGCTGGATTGCCCAGGCATGTTGTAGGTTTTTTGTTCGCTACAGATTTAGACAGTCATCGTTTACATCTGTTGTTGGATTGTGGTTGGGTGATACAAGCGGCCGGAACATGCGCAATCAATCCTTTGGTCTATGGAATACTGGACAAAAAATTGTTGTTGTCATTTTTCAAACTTTTTCAAATGAAGCAAGCTAATAGTGTAAAACCCGAGTGAGTGGAATTTGGCTGCTGTTCGACCTCTCCTTACCTATACTTACGGCCTACCTATGTACGTATTGGACCAACCTACCTACCTACAGTACCTGTTGGCTTACCCTATCTTCCTACCTATTGACTTGCGTTCCTATACCTATATTTATTGTACATACCTACTTATATATACAGTACTGTCCTATAGTACCTTCACCCTACAGCACCTACCTAGCTACCGTTAGTACCTACCTAGCTACCGTTAGTACCTACCTATTCACTTGCATATATAGTATACCACCTTTCTATCTATGTCCCACAGCACCATACTCGCATACATACTGTATATACCTTTCCACCTAACTATCTACGTACCTACTTAACAATTTGAAGTAAAAACGTTTTGTTCATGCCAATCTCAGATGGATCCAATTGAACAGGTCGGGGTGAATTGTTAGACAAAGTACACTGATCTCTTTATATATAAAATATTAATAGTTTTGATAGTTAAAATTTACAATACCATTGTACATTAAAACTTGCTATTAATTTGTGAATGTACACGAAGAGTTGTAATATTACTCGTACAGTTTTGTGTAACACTTTCTGATCAGGCTGATACTTTATTGTGTGTGTAGTTAAAACAAATTGTTTTGTGATGCTTATAAAGAAAAATAATATAATTATGCTTTTGGTTTTACTGTGTATAAATTAATCAAATATGATAATTGTTTGTGGGCGTGCTTGGATATTATTCGGAATGACCGTCGTCTGCAGGAAGGGCAATTCGTCATGAATTTAGTAATAGACCACATATATATATATATATATATATATATATATATTTCTTTATATCCGGAGCAAATTTCTCAATTTGAGCTTAATGTCCTTTGACAGAGGGCAGTTGGATAACTAAAGAATCCAAACTGCAACAAATAGGTCTTATCTCATGTATACAAATTATATATTGTAAGCGGCTGTCCAATATTTTTAATTAAAAACAAATAATAATTGAGCGTGGATAAATTAAGCCGGCACGTAAAATTGTGACTGAATTTATAGATGTTAAGACACGTTGTGGCCACGTGGGTCGCATGTCACGTAACAAATTAATGTAACCACGGTTAATTATAGCCTCCACAGGCAACTCTTGAAACTCCACAAATAAATTCATAGTTGGGGGATAGTTGAGGGATACTGAATATTCCCTCTTTATCCCTCAACTATCTCTTAACTATCAAATCAACTATCCCTGACTATCTCTCATGTGTTTCAATAGTTGCCTGCGGAGGAGGCCAGGTTAATTATTAACCGTGATTTAAAAAATTAATTTAAAAAATTAATTCACTAATAAATTTTCAACTCCGGTTATCGAACTTATCTATAGATACCCAAAAACGACATTGTCGCCTTTAATGAAAAAAAAACCCAACTTTAAATGACGTCGGTTTATTATTACTGTGAAAGAAATAACTCTAACATGTTATTTGTAGGTGATCCGAAACCTTCATGTTGTTTTCACCATGAACCCATCATCAGAGGGACTCAAAGACAGAGCTGCGACGTCTCCTGCCTTGTTCAACAGGTGATGTTTTAATTGTTTATCTTTTCATGGAATTTTGTGTAGAGTAAAAAGTTAAAACTGGAATGAAACGATGTATACAGTACACCTCAATACTGACTGTTTTGCTCTGATTATATGCTGTAGCACGCACGATTCACTCTAAATTTTATTGTTTGTATTAGCTAGTTCGCTTGAATTGATATTTACGTTTTTATTCAATATGCTACTGAAGGAAAACTTCATCCATTTATATGAGAATCCAAATATTTGTTTGGATTGGTTGCCTTCAAACATTCATTAATAATTCATAAGCTTATTGGCAAATCATGTCAACCATAATATGTCACGTGCAGTGGCTTTAAACCTGATAAAACACTCCTAATTAGTATTCTTTATATAAAGAATACTAATAAGGCAGTATCTATTGTAGTCTTGTCCTCATTAGTATTCTTTATATAAAGAATACTAATAAGGCAGTATATCTATTGAATTTGTAGTCGTGTTTGAAGCCGTTTAATAAACTCGCAGGTCGTGTTTTATGTACTATTTACAACATGAGCGGCCGTGTTGTATCGGATATACAAAACGGACGCGAATGTTGTAAATGACTTAAAAAACGACTCATCTTATGAGTTCATTGGCGAAGTAATTTTAAAAATAAACGTTGTCTAAGCCGAGAAAATCAAAGTTAAAGTTTATGTAAATCAACATGAATCTGTATCACATATACAGATACGACACGCTTATGATTTTTCTTTGTGTTTTCTTCATGAATTATTAATGAGTTTTTTAATAGGTCTAAAGCCACTCGCGCGCTTTAAAGCTAATAAAACACTCCTGCTCGTGTTTAAAATAGTACATCAAAGATATACCGTCGTTTAATTTACCTGCTGTGGACAACATTTTAATTGGCGCAACAAATCCGTGAAACTGGACGCCATTGGCTGAGCTTAAAACCTTCCAAATGCTCTGAACAAACCTTATGTTCTCGTAAACATTTATGTACTATTTAAAACACGAGAAGGAGTGTTTTATATTTAAAACGGGATGCGCAGCCGATCGTTTTAGATATGATAAAACGCGAGTTTGATTGTTTTGAATGGCTTAAAATACGACTACAAAAGAATACTAATTAGGATGAACAATTATATAATCATACTAATTAGGATGAACAATTATATAATGAAGATGAGTAAGAGTTTTATCAGATATAAAGTCACTCCACGTGACATATTATGGCTGACATGATTTGCCACAAAGTTTATGAATTTTTAATGAGTATTTTGAATATTTTAAATATTATCTACGGGTAGGTGAAACTGACGGTACATGCCAATTTAAAGGCTGTCAAGCTTGGATTAGTATCCTTTTAGTTATCGATTAGTATATCAAGTGACGTTTCTTGAAATTAAGAAGACTAGTGTTGCATAATATATATCTTCCTTTCTTCATGGACTATCATTGGACAACTCTTCTCCCGTTACTACTTTAACATTATTTGTTCTTTCTTTTCTGCATAACATACTGAACGTGAATTATTTTGAAAGTATTATAATTTACTTGTAATATTTTCAGATGTGTATTGAACTGGTTTGGCGATTGGTCTACTGGTGCACTCTACCAAGTCGGGAAAGAATTTACGAGCAAAATTGACCTGGACAATTCTCTGGTAAGTGCAGGCGCGATATATGTTTATTGAATATGGCTGCATACAATTCTGTACAAAGCTCCAATGGGCACTGTGCTCATTGAAAATTGCAGCCGACATATCATTATATTTCTTTACCTATAAGAATTTTAAAGAATTATGGCGGTACTATCTACGCGAAATGAGTTTAGTAACATTGGGATGCTCTCTTGCTGGGTGGAAGTTATTATATATCAATGGAAAAATAACTATCCTAGGAGGCAAGATCTTTGGTAGTGGAGATTTCTCCATAATATGAACAGTCTCTAAGTGTAAATTAATTGTACTTGAAGCAGTCGTAATTCAGTTTCTATTAAGGTAGCGTCCAAATATTTTACTGATGCTACAGAAACTTTTGAAGTCATTTCAAAATTTGTGTATGTTGTCGTCGAGTATTTGTTGACAAATTTTTATTGATTTTCAGGGATATAATTCTATCGGTAATCGCAATGAATGACCACCGAAACAACATACGTCATTAATTATCTTTTATATCCCATATAGTACCGTGCTCCAGACTACCTCCCCGTGGTTTATGAAGGACTATCTATACCACCAACACATAGAGAAGCTGTTATTAACGCCTTTGTATTTGTTCATCAAACATTACATCAAGCCAATGCTCGTCTTACTAAACGTGGTGGTCGTTGTATGGCTATTACTCCAAGACATTATCTGGACTTTATCAACCATTATGTAAGTTTCGCCAATTTCCTTAGACCTATAGTGCCTTGATCTCTGGCAAATGACATTGCAAATCCTACTGTAATGCATTAAAAACTTATCGTCAAGCAGGAAAGTGTCAAGTAAAATTCTCCTTTGATCCTTTTTTTGTGAAACACCCATCTTTGCGCGGTAAACATAAAGTTGAACTATGTGGATTTGGACTCGCAACGTTTGCTGTCATTCAAAATATGGTAAAAGAAAATATTTCCATAAAGTATCGTATTTACAAACAGCCACTTATTCAGCAAATTGTGCATGCTGCCTTTGATCCCTTGGGGGCGAGGCAGCACTTTCCTTGCGATAGTAACTCCTAGTATACCTGCATGACGCAAAATTAAAATAATCTAAACTAACCAAAAATAATCTTTGGTTTTTGCTTCGCGGAAATAACATTAGGAATGTCTTTTTTACCAGGTGAAACTGTACAACGAGAAAAGATCTGATTTGGAAGAACAACAACTGCATTTGAATGTTGGTTTGCAAAAGATAAAAGAAACTGTCGACCAGGTCTGTATTGTAATGAAAACGTACTGATGATATGGTATACAGTAAATGTAAATCTATGTCTTAAAACTGAAGATGCAAGTCAAACAAGACACAAATTCTTTTGCATGCATGTAAGATTCGAAATTATTCAATTCGTCATGAGACAAAATGCGAGACAAATAAAAAACATGCATGTAGTTAACGCACATTAATTTCAACAGAAAAACAAAATAACTTATGACATTATATTCGTAATGTTTTGTCAATAAATTGTGGCTCTTAAATCGACAATAAAACGGAGTGAGGAATTATGTTCTTAGGTTATGTATACGTACCTATATTAAATGGAAAAAATTATTTTAATAATATTTTTACCATGTCATCGAGTTTAGGTTGAAGAACTACAGAAAAGTTTGTCAATGAAGAGTCAAGAACTGGAGGCGAAGAACGCATTGGCTAATCAAAAGCTGAAGCAGATGGTATGTGATGGTTATATACTACTAACATTTCCAACATTTTCCTGCAGATACCACGTGTGACAAAAATAATTTCTGTATATTATGTTGCTAATAAATTAACAAAATTGTCATTGCAATGTTAAAAAATTATTGCCTGCATATTCATATTTGTCAACGATCGTGAGATGAACGTGCTTGGACATGATGTGAAGAGCGAAAAGCAAATTTAGGGGGATAAGCGCACCCTCACTTAAGTAGTAGGTACATTCCCACCATTTCTGCATAAATTAGTACATAGTGACGTTTTCTTAATAAAGGTTTATAATTTGTGGTGAAGGGATTTGAAGATGGAAATTTCGAGTGGAATTTTTATACATTTATTAGACCTAACTAGGAGCAGTTGCGAAAATGCAACTATAGGGGAGTATAGGCCCTCTGGCAGGAATCGACCCTGCGATTCCGGTGCAGTGCTCTAACCAACTCAGGGTTCGTAGCTGTCTTTGAAATCCTTGAAAGTCTTTAAATTTGAATGCAGGTCTTTAAGGTCTTTGAAAAGTCTTTGAATTGTGTGAAAAAGCGAAGAAAGTCTTTAAAAGTCTTTAAACTCTTCAGTGAGTATTTGATTATACGATTTCCTAGCTAATAAAATAGATTGATTGAAGCAAGATTTTCGCAAATATCGACGAAAAGGCGCATTTTAGGTTGTGATTTGACAGGACTAATTATTGGGTAAAAATGTTGCTTATACTTGCAGTTTTTCAACAGCTGATTGCTCTCAAAGGTCTCTGAAAAGTCTTTGAAAATAGGCAGCAAAAATCTTTGAAAGTCTTTGAATTTTTTTGGTCTTGGAGACTACGAACCTTGATAAATACTATGACCGAAACGAAATGGCCCCGACTTGACGTCGTTCCGGTCTCATGTAAACGGGACCTAACTGATTGTAGATGGGTTTGTAGGTTGGAATTTGCATATGGCTAGTCTCCCTCGCAGCCGCTCTTTGTGTCGAGGTTACTCCCCACGAGCGGCTGCTCACTCGAGGGCAACATTCCTTTTCTGAAAACAACCAGTCACAGTACTACAAAGAGAATGGAATGTTGTGCTCGAGTGAGCAGCCGCTCATGGGAAGAAACCTCGACACAAAGAGCGGCTGCGAGGGAGACTAGCATATGCCATGTCATGGATAAACAGTCAATTTATGCCTGCACATTTTTTGAGCGTATATGACTAAATTAGTGTAGCTTTTCCGTTTAGTTTACAGTTATCCGTTCACAGTAAAGCTTACTGGAAAAACGTACTCAGACAAACTGACGAATAAAACGAGTAAAGAATACATGGAACTGAAGAAGCAATTGCTTGATGGGGTACGACAATTTATTTCAGATTCATGACTAGTTATAGACACAGCAAGAACAAGCTTTCGTTGGTAGGAATGCAACTACCTGAAAAATAGAAGGAGAATTTCGACGTTTCAGGCGAAGGCCCTTTGTTTGGAGTAAGTAGGCTACTCACGCCAGACGAAGGGCCTTCGCTCGAAACGTCAAAATTCTCCTTCTATTTTTCAGGTAGTTGAATCCCCACCAACGAAAGCTTGTTATTACAGTATTGACATGTCGACCTACACTGGCACAAACTGTTCAAGATTATAGATACAGCTCAAACTCATTAATAATTCATGAGTAAATTAGCCAACCATGTTGCTTTATTTTGCTCACATGGTGAAGTATATTGATCTAGTCCTTGGACTGGATCAAAGTTAATTCAGTCCTTGGACTGGATCAAAATGAATTCAACTCACTTTACAGTGCGTCTACAGTAAGTGGGGCCACTTACAGAACACTAACCAATCACATTGAAGAACAGAAATTGAAAAATCAACAAACGGCGCATTAGCCAATCAGCATTAGGCCAAAAACAATTTAAACAAATAAACGAATGTCAAACGGTAAAAATAGACTTGTAAAAGTAAACACTGCAGTTAATGGCTTCCTGAATCTTTCTTTTGATTGGACGAGCTTTAGTTTGATTAGATTTTTCTTTCTGTTCTGCAATGCGATTGGTTAGTGTTCTCTAAGTGGCCCCACTTACAGTAGACGCACTGTAAGTAGTTATTTATTCGTATGAGATGTCATGTCAAATCCTCCAATTCGGACTGGACTAGATTTCAACTCCTCACATTTTGATTCAGTCCTCGGTTTCGCCTCGGACTTGATCAAATTGCACGGACGTGAAATCTAGCAGTCCTCATAGTCGTATTTGAAATATTACATCACTTTGTCTGAATGTCTTAAAATTATTCATTCTAGCTCACGGCATTGCTTGCTAACGATGGCTGTGTCGTAGCAATCGAACTCTCAGGATTCAGGTAAGCGTCAAAACTTTGCAAGAAACTTTGAATTTCCAGACCCTTGTCTTTAGCCGCACACAAAAGAACACTTCAGTTGAAGGAATGTGCCACTATTACCCCAAGGATGATTTTTGGTACAGTAACATTTGGATCATTCTAAAAACTTTAGATATAGTACTTTTAGTATTTTTCTACACAAGTGAATATAAGAAATCCGACGTGGTGATTGTAAAATTTGACGTGCTATTCCCTTGTATTCACCCACAGGTTAATATAACAGTAAAAACTAGTTTGCAAAATGGCGACTGGCCGTTTTGTGGAAATCACGGATAAAGATAAGCGAAATTAAAATAAATTCAGTACCAAAAAACACAAAACTTGTGTGAAAATACTAAGACAATTATTCGCCTTAGACTCGGTGATTATCGGGGAATATTCACCTCGACTTCGTCTCGGTGAATATTCCCCGATAATCACTTCGCCTTCGGCGAATAATTGTTAAATATTTAAGCAGTGAAAATTTTGCTTTTATGTCGTTATTGTTCCTCCTAGGAAAGGCAGTGTGTTGGCTGATGTTGTTCTTTCAGTACAAGGATTGATATCTCAAAGTATTATAGACACGTTGAAATCTGCCATCCAGTCTGGAAATATCGGTGGGCTGCAAGTGGAGATCGCTCTAGGTACAAATATAGATCAGTTCAGTGTTTCCACCTTCCATCCAGTTATAATTTTACGTCCAGTAAGCATGAATAGTAATTTTGAAGCCGGAAGTATGTACAACGAGGATAGATTTTTAATTTTACCAATGTAGGTGCTTCAGTGTAGGCAGGCTACTCTCACAACTGATGAGTTTTAAATACTTGAGGCGGCCATGCATGTTGGTGCAAATGTCACGATTTTTGGCAACTCACTCAATTGAACTAATGTTGACGGATTTTGTCGATGGAAATTTATTTAAATGTCTCTGGATTATGGTTCATATCTCACAATTCATCGGCAAGTTCCAATGCCAATGGTAATTGGTGTCTTTGTCTATCGAGAAGGATTTTCTTCTTGACCGATCACCGATAATGGACCATAAGAACATCGCCAATGAATTGTGGTATATGAAAACCAGGCTTTATAAAAGTAGAAATCCGTCTACTTATACGTATCGACCTGATATTGTGTTTTGTATCATTTTCCCCTAGAACCCGAGCCCCAGCCAGAAAAAACAGCCAAACCTGTGCCTCCGTCCCCCACTGCAAGCAAACCTACATCCCCACCGCCAGCCACACAGCCGACCACAAAGCCAACCACAAATCCAACCACAAATCCGACCACAAAACCGACCACAGAGCCAAAGTCATCTCCGCCGCTGGGTCAAGTGGCTCGCGATGAGTCGGCACCGACTGCCCCACCCACTGCCGCGCCCACCGCCGCACCCACTGCCGCACCCACTGCCGCACCCACTGCCGCACCCACTGCCGCGCAGTCCACTCCACCAGCATCCAAAGTAGTGGCAACTGTTGCACCAACAACCCCAAACACCACCAAGACACCACCAGCCCAAAACGCCACCACCCCTACACCTGCCCCAAGCACAACCCCTGCCCCAAGCACAACCCCTGCTCCAGTGAAGCCTAAAAATCCAGTCGACAGCAGACCCACCGTACCCTATAACCGAAATACACCAGGTATGTGGAAACCGTTGTTTTCAAGGGCCTTTTCATATGAACCGGGCCAGCCTGGCTAGCCGCGATGAATCATGTCACGAAAATGTTTTCCTGACCATAAAACATCGTTTGAGTGAATTTTTTACTGTTACTGGAATCAAACTAAGCTATTTCAACTTTGAAATGTCATTTTATATGATTACTAGAAAATACATGCATGCAGAAACCCTCGCCTTGCTGACAAAACCATTGTATTTTCCGAACATGGACGCCCGTATTCTAAACGCTCCCTCGCACTCACAGTCTCGCACTCAATGAGTGGAGGTTCAATCTGAACTTGTCAGTGCTGTTTTTGAATAGCTGGAGGGTGAGTAGTCACATAGTAAGGTAGGACACTATCCCTTCAGCTATTCAAAAACTGCATTGACACTCAAGAGAAGCTCAGATTGAATCCACTCATTGAGTGTGAGTGAGCTTTTAGAATACGGGCGGAAATGTTTAAAGTAGTTAATATAACACGATAATTGTATTAAGAATATTTTTACAAATGAAAAATCCCCTAAAAATATCACTTTTAATTACAAAATTATCAATTTACCAAACATATATATGTTAGGTATGTTAATTATTAGACGTAATATAAGCTTCAATTTGAGGTAAAATTCATAATCATAAAATCATGCATAAATTATTACACATTCAGTTATTCTGGCCAAGACAAACTTTTGCTAATTTCGTATCCGGTTTTCAGCCAAATTTAACCATATTTTAATAAATTTGCGTCCATTAGTGCCATAAATTGTCGTCTTTATCATAGATATCTTATATACACTTGATAGCGCATCTCTTGTAGTAAAATTGAAGCCAAGAATATTCCAGCGGTTACCCCCATTTGAATAGATGGCGGCCATGTTGGTAGTTCCCACTTGCTAATAAACGCTTAAAAAACAACAATAACTTTCATAATTTGAATAGTTTAAAAATGTATTTGGAATAGGTTTAACTTAATGTTTAAGTTTCCTGTCTAAGAAATAGAAAACATACGAATCTTCTCATTTCATGAGAATATCCTGAGTCTGCAATCACGGCTTCAATTTTTGAATTGCAGAATAATTAGATGCACTATCTAGTGTATACAGCTTTTTCAATTAAGGTTGTCCCCCGAGCAAAGCGGAAAAGTCGAATACGAGCGTGAAAGCTAGGCTGCTGGGAATCGCTAATAAATTCATTCATTTATTAACAATTCCCAGCAGCCTTTCGCGCTTGTATTCGACTTTTCCGCTTTGCTCGGGAGACAACCTTAATTGAAATAGCTGTATAAGATATCTATGGTCTTTATACGTTGGCCGGAGTGTTGTCCGTATATTTAACAATTATGCCATGAGCTCGAGTCGTATATATGAGCTGATAGCCAACGAGGTGCGTAGCACCGAGTTGGCTATATCAGCCATATACGACGAGAGCGAATGGTATAATTGTTTTATAATATGGTCTAATAGCCATTAACTGAAGTAATAATTAATTATCCTCTGTTACAATGTCTTGACAATTTGTTCGGCCAAAAACCGCCTGGCCTTGAAAATTTGAAATACTTTTGTTTTACAACTCGAAGACGAAGTGAAAGAAATGGTTTTAGAACCGCTATATCTCACAGAAAAGCTCAGATATATTATACAGATGTTTGGTAGTATAGTAAGTGCTGCAAATTAATTTGTCTTTCGTTGCAAACTTTTCTGAACAATTTATATTCTCAATGGACAATGTCAATGAACATGCTTTTTTCGATGTTGTTTCGGTACTAATTCTTTAAAAAACTTGTATTTAAACTAATTTCTATGTAATAAATGTATTTTGATAACCTGTCAAATTTTTTTGAGAGTTTTTCCTTGTACTATTATGTTTCTCAAAGCGAATATTTTCCTTTTTCCTGCTTCGCAAAACTCATGTAGTTTTTGGACCGCCATCTTGTTTTTCGCTACTCGCCGTATATGAGCTGATATACGGCGAGTAATTCAACCAATCAGGTTGCAGAACAGCTCATATACGGTGAATGACTATATTATAAAAGTTTTTTATATAATACCTTATTGAATTCTGATCGTTTAATTGGCTGTTTATGGTCACGTGATATTGAATAGAAAATTCCATTTCCCAAGAGTGCAATGGAATACGTTCCATTGCACTCTCTGCGAGTGCAATGGAATAAAACGTATAGTACAATTGCACTCTTTGTGTTTTCGATAAATCGCATCCCTCAAAATGCTTCTCATACGAATCTATTAGTCTATTTTGGTATTATATAAAATAAATAATGAACTTTTTTCGTGGAATGGTAAGAATATTTTCATTCGGTGAAAGATGGAATGTTCCATTCAACTCGGCTGTCGCCTCGTTGAATGGAACATTCCATCTTTCACCTCATGAAAATATTCTTACCATTGCACTCATAAACATTATTTGTATAATATTTCTCTTGTACATTTTTTTCTCAGGCAAAGAATTCAAGGTCGCCATTATTATGCCGGATATGCCATTTGATGCGAACTTGAACAAACCAGGAAGCTCTCAGTTTTTGGAGTTGAAGAAATTCATCGAAGAGTCGGTACAAATGATCTCAATTTTATTTCATGTTATACAGGGTGTCTCAAAAAAACGCTATGGAAATTCTACAGGCTGTTGTGCATCACAAACTTAACTAAACAATTCAATTTTTACATATGACGAAAGAGCTGTTATTTAGCTTTTCTATGATATATTTCTTAAATCGTAACGATGAGAATTGGCCATTTCGGTCGAAATCACATTCTTCCACCGTTTGGGAATTGAAAATACATTAATTATGCAAAGTTAATCAATCCAAAAGCACCGCGAGTCTGCTGCAAGGTAGTTGTTTCGTAAAACGTTGAATTTCCATAGCGTTTTTTTAGACACCCTGTATATACATTTTACAACCAATAGACAATTCCCATTCCCACAAGGAGATGCAAATAAATCGCCACAGCTATAGAAAGAGCATACTAAAATGAGTAAAATTGCAAAGTTTGGTTGCGAAATGTTGTAAAATGTGGAAAATATAGCCCTGCAAAGTTTGCAAATTTTGTATACCTTTGTATTGAAATTTCTACCATTTTCGGCCATTTTGTATGCTCTTTCCGGGATTATACATTTTTGCCAAGGTAAATAATAAGTCTATATGGGAGTTGTCTATTCTGGCAAGACTGTGCTGTTTATTTAGAACTAACTTCAACTTCTTTCGTTTTTTTCATAGCTGAAAGAGATTTTCCGAGGCAATGCTGAATATATTTCTGTCCAAGTTCTAAGTTTCGCGTGAGTAACATGATCGACAATTTTTTAGTAACAGTAAGCGATAGAATGTGGCACCAGATCCGACGAGAGGGGGGAGGAGACAGGGTGACCTCGCGGGCCCCACACTCAAAAGGTGCCCCCGTCTTTTATGTAGTTTATTATTAGCATGACAAAATTACTGGATGCTGATTGGTTGAGAGGAGTACAATTATTTCATTAATTGTACTGCAGTACAATTAATGATTTTCCCAAAACAAACAAAATGGCGGAAAGGTATTTTAAACACAAATGTGAAATGAAATTGCACTAGAAGGAACACGATGAAAATACGAACAAAAGCACCAAATTTTGCTTGAACAAAAGAACTAAATGAAAATACAAACGAAAGCACTAAATTTTTGTTGAAAGTCTGGCAGGACTGGGCTTTGGGAAGAGAATATGATGTTGACATTAGAGAAGTACGTATCCAATTTTGTCATGCTAATAATAAACAAGTAGCGGGGCGAGTCCAATTTGGCAAATTTCCAAACATCACTCGTACTATTAATCTCTAATTGTACTCGCCATCGCATGATTACCTATACTAATTTAGACTTGCCGCGATCCGATTTGCAGAGAGTTTGACAGATTGAGACAGACTTTAAAATCTCATCTCATAAATATTCTGGCTTCAAAATTGGCTGATGGAATTCAAAGGTGATTCTAAGTGTTTGTTAATGATATGTTTTATTTTCCACACAGACCCGCGTCTTCCTCGTCATCAACAGCAAGTCGCCGTTCTACTGGACCTTTAAGGGGAGTCGAAGTGACATTAGACTTCAAATTCCGCACTGCAAAACCCGATCTGTTGGCCCCTCTGGAGACTCAACTACAGATAGGCACCATTGCCACTCACGCAGTATCCCCAGACTTAGCAGCAGGTAGGTGACTGACCGATTGAAATGAAACTGGATTGCTTATGATGAAGTCAGCGATTAATCCTCGTGCACACAAGCAATTAAGTTTTCCTTGACAAGTTTTCTTTCTCGTGTCTACGGTCAACAAGTTTTCTTTGACAATTTTCCTTGGCAAGTTTACTTTCTCGTGTGTACGGTCAACAAGTTTTCTTTGACAAGTTTCCTTGACAAGTTTACTTTCTCGTATCTACAGTCAACAAGTTTTCTTTGACAATTTTCCTTGACAAGTTTACTTTCTCGTGTCTACGGTCAACAAGTTTTCCCTGACAAGTTTTCCTTGACATGCAGGTTTCCTTGACATGTTTTCCTTGATAAGTTTGCTTTCTCGTGTCTACGGTCAACAAGTTTTTTTTGACAGGTTTTCCTTGACATGTTTACTTTCTCATGTGTACGGTCAACAGGTTTTCCTTGACAGGTTTTCCTTGACATGCAGGTTTCCTTGACATGTTTTCCTTGACATGTTTACTTTCTCGTGTCTACGGTCAACAGGTTTTCCTTGACAGGTTTTCCTTGGCATGCAGGTTTCCTTGACATGTTTTCCTTGATAAGTTTACTTTCTCGTGTCTACGGTCAACAAGTTTTCTTTGACAAGTTTCCTTGACAAGTTCACTTTCTCGTGTGTACGGTTAACAAGTTTTCCTTGACAAGTTTACTTTCTCGTGTCTACGGTCAACAGGTTTTCCTTGACAGGTTTTCCTTGACATGCAGGTTTCCTTGACATGTTTTCCTTGACAAGTTTACTTTCTCATGTGTACGGTCAACAGGTTTTCCTTGACAGGTTTTCCTTGACATGCAGGTTTCCTTGACATGTTTTCCTTGAAAAGTTTACTTTCTAGTGTCTACGGTCAACAAGTTTTCTTTGACAAGTTTCCATACCAACTTTACTTTCTCGTGTCTGCGGTCAACAGGTTTTCCTTGACAGGTTTTCCTTGACATGCAGGTTTCCTTGACATGTTTTCCTTGATAAGTTTACTTTCTCATGTGTACGGTCAACAGGTTTTCCTTGACAGGTTTTCCTTGACATGTTTCCTGATATGATGTCATTAGGTGAATTGCAAATTAGTTTTTCTTTGTTTTTTTGTACCAAAAATTCACCTAATGACCTCATATCTGGAAAACTTTGACAGTGAAAAAATTGACCAAGATGAGGTTTTTTACTATAAAGATATATTATATTTCTTCTTAGAATGACCTAAATATATTACACATACCAACAATCATATTTGTGGTTAGTCACATAATAAAACAATACGCGTTTCAGCTCCCGTATAAATCACTTGGAAACCAAACAGTATGAACACTCTTTTAGTAATTTTATTCATTAGAAATAAAGTTTTAATTAAAGACTACCAGTTTGGCGAAATCGTAGGCACGATCAGTACAAAAATGTGCTTGTCTGTAGCCGGAACGAAACGGGAAGCCATTTTGTTGTTTTTTTGCCGGAGGTGAACAGTTTTCTATTTCGTTAATGTTTTTATCTTCGCTCTTTAGGACGATTGTTTTTTCAAAAATATATTTTTTAACCATTTTAAATTTTACAAATTCATTTGCTATAACCTGTAAACAATTTGTGGGAATTTTTTATTGTGTTTTTAATCCTGTAAAGGTTATAAAATGCAAACAACTTGTCGTTCGCAAAACGTTGGAAATTCAGTTTGAGACGCCATTTTGTTGTTCTCTTCTAGCAGGATATGAGCTAATATCCTGCTTAGTAGAGAACTAATCAGATTGCAGAATACCTCATATCCAGACCTTGTGTATATAATAAATTCGATTATTCAACGATTTTTCAAAAATTTCAATTTGCCGAAAATTTTCATTCTAATAAGGTTTGATGAGATTTTTCAGCCCAGGCTAGTCCGGTTCGTGTAATCGGCCCCTAAGTAATGTTGTTTATGATTTTTTGCAGTTGTTATCCAAGAAGGTCAGCAAATCCCAGGTCAAACCCCTGGTCAAACCCCTGGTCAAACCCTTGGTCAAACCCCTGGTCAAACCCCTGGTCAAACTCCTGGCGCTGGGCAATGTCCATCGCCGTGCCGACAACCGAGTGTTTGTGCCCCGACATGTTCGTCGACGTGCTGTTCACCCCCCGTCCAGAAGCCGCCTTGCCCCAGTCCCTGTTCAAGTCGATGTGCCCCTGGCTGTTCATCGGTCTGCTGTGCGCTGTCCAAGAGAAGTTTTGTCGCGCGTCAAAACTGAGACGCAACCATACGATATATATATATTAAAGGTGAAATTGGCATTTGAATTTTAGTTACATTCATTGTTAGGTACTAGTCTCTTTGGTGTTTGTAATATTGATTTTGGCAAACACCTAATTGTTATACAAGGTTGATGACGGTAACAGATTTGCTACAACTTGTTCCAACAAGACTAATACGTACACTTTGTAACAAGTTACTATACGATCTCGTTGTCGTCGACTTGTTACGTGCATGTAAGCGATATCAGGCTTGTTGGAACAACTTGTTGCGAGTCTGTTGGCCTTGTCAACCTTGTTACAAGATGATAACAACTTGTTCCGGACTTGTCAACAACTGAAAAAAAAACCCAGTGCGAACACATCTTGTTGACAAGTAGTAAGACGTTTACGCGTGTACACAACGTTACAAACACAATTGCAAACAAGCGCGTTTTAACGCTGACGGCTAACGATATATAGCTTGCATGCAATGGTGTATATTTGTATATGCAATATTCGTGTTTTAAATTTCATTTTTTTGTGGATTGATTAAAATGTCGTTTTAACAAAATATCGTCTTGCTCGTGTGTAATTTAGCAATCTTGAATATAGTTATATTATTTTGTAGTTTTATTTTTCTTGGCTGAACATTGCCTGTAGTTATACGATTGGTTTAACCATAGCCTATCGAAGGGAAGATGGCTGCGAAACTCATTAGAATAACAATATAACAATATAACTATAATATCTATGTTAGTCAACGTTTATTCATAAATCTGGTCCTTTACTGTCACCTGTGTTATATAACTGTGTATTGTATTTTTGCCCCACTAACCAATAGCAATGTTTTAGGAAAGTTGCCTATCTGTATATCATTGTTTTGAAAATCTCCTGTTCTCCATGTCATCCAGTCATGATCCAACGATCAGAATGTTCCATTGTCTTTTCATTGCTTTGAAAATCCCACTGTTCTCCATGCCATCCAGTCATGATCCAGTGATCAGAATGTTCCATTGTCTTTTCATTGCTTTGAAAATCCCACTGTTCTCCATGCCATCCAATCATGATCCAGTGATCATAATAATGTTCCATTGTTTTTTCATTGTTTTGAAAATCCCACTGTTCTCCATGCCATCCAGTCATGACCCAATGATGAGAATATTCCATTGTCTTTTCATTGTTTTGAAAATCTCACTGTTCTCCATGCCATCCAGTCACGACCCAGTGATCAGGATAGTCCATTGTCTTTTGCATTGTTTTGAAAATCCCACTGTTCTCAATGAAAGTCATTTTCATTTTCACACAGTCACTTTGAAATAGCATTTATGCAAAGAGTTTTCAGCTATGGTATTGCGAAAGCCATACTAAAAATATTAGTCGACGACCTAAAATTCTCGCTCATTACTAGCACTTGGAATGGTAAAATTTGCTTAGTATTGTAAATTACAGGCAACGAAGAATTGGGAAACTGTTGAACTCTGTCGATTGTCGGAAAGCTGAATGCCTAACAGCTTTTATTTTCTCAAACCGACGAAAGTGGATTGGTCTTTGGTGTGTTGTTTATATGGAATATGTACATTCTGTGCAATCGTCTTTCATTCTTCAGTGTTGACAAGTGAAATGACAAATATGAGGTAAGTTTTATATTAAAGCTGTTCAAAAACCTTGACAGTTCGAGTTTGGCAAACATCGCAAGCAAGCTTTCTTTAATTAGGCATAATCCGGTCTTCTGTGCTGAAAATTGGGTATGAAAACTAAGCAAAGGTTTTTCTTACTTTGCTGGGCAGAGTAAATTAACCGAATGCGTAATAACCTTTGCATAGCATGATACATAACTTATAAATTCTCTCCCAGAGGTATCAGGGTGCCCTCTAGTTAATAGTAATAATAGTGCTTCAATTCCATATATTTTAATATATATCTTAATATAGTATACACTGGCTACGAAACTCTTCTTACTTAATATTTAACATTTTCAAAATTTATTTCAAATAAATACATCCTCTTTATTTGTATGATGCATATCACCATACGATCATCCTTGAATCTATGATGTGACTATATCATCATACAGACACATTAGATAACCTCACTCCACCCCCACCCTAAGCAGAGGCACCAACCCATCTAACTCCTCACCCTGATGAGGGGGGGGGGGCAGACAAAAACGTCCGATTTTTCCGTCCAATTTTTCCGACCGTTAGGACCAGCATAATGGAACCAGGCTGTATTCTTACCCTCACCCAACAACGAGACATGAAAGTGTATCCAGTCTTTGTTCTTCTGCCTTCGTTCATAACGAATTCACGACGAATTTTGCCAAAATTATGAACGAAGGCAGAAAAACGCATGATATATGGATTCCTGTCTCGCTGTTTTGTCTAGGTCAGATACATTATACATTAAATCGATATTTTAAAACAGGTAGATATTATAAATCTATATAACCTATAATATTTTTTATTTTTAATATTTTGTGGAAACACCACGCAAATATATTACTGCAAAGCTTTCGATCCATAAACCCGGATCTTCATCAGTGCTAATAATATGCACATAGAAGATCAGGGCTTATACGGTAAGCTAAAGCTTTGCAGTAATCAATTTGCGTGGTGTTTCCACAAACAAAAAGTATTATTATATGTTTTATCGCCATGCAATCCTACAAAGAACTCTATATATAATTTGTCTTCTAAGGATCTAGGCAAATGTTACTCGCATTGTATCTCAATCTTTCTAAATTTCGAATCATTGATTCAGGGCAAGATGCTTGCCCGATATTTCTCCCTTTGTTCTTGCTTCACAGACAATCGTGCTTCCTTAGCACGGTGCGCTTCTTGCTGACGCACGCTTTGCTTCTCTCTTCCAGCTTCGGACCGTCTTCGGTGATTCTCGGCACGTTCGTCTTCCGTTCGCCATTCCTCGCGAAGTCTTTCGTGAAAGTCTTCGCGACGTTCGTGTTCTTTCATACGCAGATAAGCCTGGTAACATATGGAGTTATAATATAACATTTATAAGACTTGTTTGCACTCTCAAAGTTCCTGTGATCCCAGTGGGAATTTTGCATACGTAAAGTGTTGAAGGATTTGTAAGAGATGTTTGGGGAATTGACAGTTTCAAATCCGACCATGAGGACTGGACTAGATTTCAAGTCCGCGTAATATGATCACGTCCGAGGCAAAGCCGTGGACTGGATCAAAATGCGAGGATTTGAAATCTAGTCCAGTCCAAATTGGAGGATTTGAAATGACATCTCATACGAATAAATCACTACTTATCTCATTTTAATCCAGTCCATGGACTGAATTAATTTTGATCCAGTACTAGGACTGGATCAGTATACTTCATCAATATACTTCATGAGTTTGAGATTAAGTGTTAAACACCGAGTCAGAGCAGTTCCCATTTATCGACAAGTTTGGAACAAGTTGTTCCAACAAGTTTGATATCGTCTGCATGTAACACGTTGTGAACAAGTTAACGACAACAAGCTCGTAACAAGCTGTTACGAACGGTCTGTATTAGTCTTGTTGGAACAACTTGTAGCAAGTCTGTTGCCGTCATCAATCTTGTAACAAGTCGATAACCCAAAATATAGGGGTTATTTAGGATTAACTCGAATAGGGTTATTTCGAGATTAGCCAGGAAAATTTTAACCGCGGAATGTTTTCGGGTGTGTATACTTACGCCTGTATTCTAAAAGCTCACTCACACTCATTCAAAGAGTGGAGATTCAAGCTGATCCCCCCTTGAGTGTCAGTGATGTTTTTTAATAGCTGGACGGTGAGTAGTCATATGGTAAAGTACGACACTAACCCTCCAGCTATTCAAAAACAGCACTGACACTCAACTTAGGGAAGCTCAGATTATACTTCTACTCTTTGAGTGTGAGTGAGCTTCTAGAGTACAGGCGTTAATATCACAAAAATGCAAAATTCATAATCTGCACTTTAAAGTTTATACCTGTCTTCGAGCTTTCCTGGAAATATGTTTCACTTCATGGCTGTCCTCAATTTCGGCAAACTTAACTTGTCTTTCTTTCATCGCATCAATACGATCAGTTTTCCATTTCTCTGCTTTCTCTGTCCGATCTTTCTCGTGCCGTAGTATTTCTGCTTGTCTCGCTCTCTTTGTTTCCATTGTTGACGTTTCAAGTCTGTCTTTCTCTGCATCTGCCTCAGCAATGTCTTCCTTACGTTCTGTCATCTTGTTCCTTCGGGAAAATGTATCAAATAGTTACAAAACATCGGCTGGTATAACTCGGCTTTGTTATCTGTGTTTTTGGCGTCTACGTACAAGCTTGATGGCATTACCAGATTGTTACAAGGTTTTTCTAACAAATCTGATACAGTCATGATATAACAAGAACGTTACGACACATGGTTGTAACAGTATTGTTATGTCATGACTGTATCAGACTTATTGGAGCACCCTTGCAACAAGTTTAATAATATCGACAAGGAGGCAGATGTTAACAGCTTGTTCCAAAAGTATAAACTCGCCGTTTCTGGACATGAAAATCGCAGGTCTTTCCAAATGTGTTATCGAAAATAATTTGAGACTTAACATTAATAATAAAATGCATGCAGGTTCTAGGCGCCCGCGACTTCGAGACAGAATAATATTAATTTTCACGTCTTTTCCGAAACCTGCTTTTTATATTCGGACGTCTATATAGTGATGCACGAATCCTTAAGGCATCGACAGAAAGCCTATATGGACCGTACATTCCAACTATACAATTCTCAGACTGGCGCAAATTCAAGTTTTTGTTACAGGAGCCTTAAAATTCAATAGAACATAAAGTTCGAAACAGCCAAACCCTAACCCTCACATACATAATATTAACGTTCACATCTTTTTCGATTACACAGCTGGAAAAAACTGCTGTTTATCTCCACGTCCGGCATTGTGATGCACGAATGAGGCATCGACAGAAAGCTTATTGATCGTAGATTCCAGAAATACAATTTTCAGGCTGGCCCAAATTCAAGTCTCTGCTACAAGGGCCTTGAAAGTCGATAGAATATCAGCTTCGCAACCGCATGCATAATATTAACTTTCACGTCTTTTCGATTATGCACCTGGAATAACCTGCCTTGTATCTTCAAGGACTGTCTTTTGATGCACGAGTAAGGAATCGATAGAAAGCCTACCGACCGTAGATTCCAAAAATACAATTTTCAGACCGTGACAAATTCCAGTTTCTGCTGCAGGGGCCTTGAAATTCAACAGAACGAAAAGTTCGAAACCGCATAATATTAACTTTCACGTCTTTTTCGATTATGCACCTGGAATAACCTGCTTTGTATCTTCATGGACTGTCTTTTGATGCACGAGTAAGGCATCGACAGAAAGCCTATGGACCGTAGATTCTACAAATACGATTTTCAGACCAGCGTAAATTCAAGTTTCCGCTACAGGGATCTTGAAATTCAATAGAACATCAGATTCGAAACAGCCAAACTCTAACCCTCACTTACATAATTTAACTTTCCCATCTTTTTCGATTACACAGCTGGAAAAAACTGCTGTTTATCTCCACGTCCGGCCTAGTGATGCACGAATGAGGCATCGACAGAAAGCTTATTGATCGTAGATTCCAGAAATACAATTTTCAGGCAGGCCCAAATTCAAGTCTCTGCTACAAGGGCCTTGAAAGTCGATAGAATATCAGGTTCGCAACCGCATAATTTTAACTTTCACGTCTTTTCGATTATGCACCTGGAATAACCTGCTTTGTATCTTCAAGGACTGTCTTTTGATGCACGAGTAAGGCATCGATAGAAAGCTTATGGACCGTAGATTCGAAAAATACAATTTTCAGACCGTGCCAAGTTCCAGTTTCTGCTGCAGTGGCCTTGAAATTCAATAGAACGCAAAGTTCGAAACCGCATAATATTAACTTTCACTTCTTTTCCGATTATGCGCCTGGAATAACCTGCTTTGTATCTTCATGGACTGTCTTCTGATGCACGACTAAGGCATCAATAGAAATCTTATGGACCGTAGATTCCCAAAATACAATTTTCAGACCGTGCCAAATTCCAGTTTCTGCTGCAGAGGCCTTGAAATTCAATAGAACGCAAAGTTCGAAACCGCATATTATTAACTTTCACGTCTTTTCGATTATGCACCTTGAATAACCTGCTTTGTATCTTCATGGACTGTCTTTTGATGCACGAGTAAGGTATCGACAGAAAGCCTATGGACCGTCGATTGTAAAAATACAATTTTCAGACCAGCGTAAATTCAAGTTTCCGCTACAGCGGGATCTTGAAATTCAATAGAACATCAGGTTCGAAGCAGCCAAACCCTAACCCTCACTTACATAATATTAACTTTCCCATCTTTTTCGATTACACAGCTGGAAAAACCTGCTGTTTATCTGCACGTCCAGCCTAGTGATGCACGAATGAGGCATCGACAGAAAGCTTATTGACCGTAGATTCCAGAACTACAATTTTCAGGCTGGCCCAAATTCACGTCTCTGCTATAAGGGCCTTGAAAGTCGATAGAACATCAGGTTCGCAACCGCATGCATAATATTAACTTTCACGTCTTTTTCGACTATGCACCTGGAATAACCTGCTTTGTATCTTCATCGACTGTCTTCTGATGCACGAGTAAGGCATCAATAGAAAGCTTATGGACCGTAGATTCCCAAAATACAATTTTCAGACCGTGCCAAATTCCAGTTTCTGCCGCAGAGGACTTGAAATTCAATAGAACGCAAAGTTCGAAACCTCATATTATTAACTTTCACGTCTTTTTCGATTATGCCCCTGGAATAACCTGCTTTGTATCTTCATGGATTGTCTTCTGATGCACAACTAAGGCATCAATAGAAAGCTTATGGACCGTAGATTCCCAAAATACAATTTTCAGACCGTGCCAAATTCCAGTTTCTGCTGCAGAGGCCTTGAAATTCAATAGAACGCAAAGTTCGAAACCGCATATTATTAACTTTCACGTCTTTTCGATTATGCACCTGGAATAACCTGCTTTGTATCTTCATGGACTGTCTTTTGATGCACGAGTAAGGTATCGACAGAAAGCCTATGGACCGTCGATTGTAAAAATACAATTTTCAGACCAGCGTAAATTCAAGTTTCCGCTACAGCGGGATCTTGAAATTCAATAGAACATCAGGTTCGAAGCAGCCAAACCCTAACCCTCACTTACATAATATTAACTTTCCCATCTTTTTCGATTACACAGCTAGAAAAACCTGCTGTTTATCTGCACGTCCGGGCTAGTGATGCACGAATGAGGCATCGACAGAAAGCTTATTGATCGTAGATTCCAGAACTACAATTTTCAGGCTGGCCCAAATTCAAGTCTCTGCTACAAGGGCCTTGAAAGTCGATAGAACATCAGGTTCGCAACCGCATGCATAATATTAACTTTCACGTCTTTTTCGATTATGCACCTGGAATAACCTGCTTTGTATCCTCATGGACTGTCTTCTGATGCACGAGTAAGGCATCAATAGAAAGCTTATGGACCGTAGATTCCCAAAATACAATTTTCAGACCGTGCCAAATTCCAGTTTCTGCCGCAGAGGACTTGAAATTCAATAGAACGCAAAGTTCGAAACCGCATATTATTAACTTTCACGTCTTTTTCGATTATGCCCCTGGAATAACCTGCTTTGTATCTTCATGGACTGTCTTCTGATGCACAACTAAGGCATCAATAGAAAGCTTATGGACCGTAGATTCCAAAAATACAATTTCAGACCGTGCCAAATTCCAGTTACCGCTGCAGAGGCCTTGAAATTCAATAGAACGCAAAGTTCGAAACCGCATATTATTAACTTTCACGTCTTTTCGATTATGCACCTGGAATAACATGCTTTGTATCTTCATGGACTGTCTTTTGATGCACGAGTAAGGCATCCACAGAAAGCCTATGGACCCTAGATTCTAAAAATACAATTTTCAGACCGGCGTAAAATCAAGTTTCCGCTACAGGGATCTTGAAATTCAATAGAACATCAGATTCGAAACAGCCAAACTCTAACCCTCACTTACATAATTTAACTTTCCCATCTTTTTCGATTACACAGCTGGAAAAAACTGCTGTTTATCTCCACGTCCGGCCTAGTGATGCACGAATGAGGCATCGAAAGAAAGCTCATTGATCGTAGATTCCAGAAATACAATTTTCAGGCAGGCCCAAATTCAAGTCTCTGCTACAAGGGCCTTGAAAGTCGATAGAATATCAGGTTCGCAACCGCATAATTTTAACTTTCACGTCTTTTCGATTATGCACCTGGAATAACATGCTTTGTATCTTCATGGACTGTCTTTTGATGCACGAGTAAGGCATCCACAGAAAGCCTATGGACCGTAGATTCTAAAATACGATTTTCAGACAAGCGTAAATTCAAGTTTCCGCTACAGGGATCTTGAAATTCAATAGAACATCAGATTCGAAACAGTCAAACCCTCACTTACATAATATTAACTTTCCCATCTTATTCGATTACACAGCTGGAAAAACTGCTGTTTATCTCCACGTCCGGCCTAGTGATACACGAATGAGGCATCGACAGGAAGCTTATTGATCGCAGATTCCAGAAATACAATTATCAGGCTGGCCCAAATTCAAGACTCTGCTACAAGGGCCTTGAAAGTCGATAGAATATCAGGTTCGCAACCGCATAATTTTTACTTTCACGTCTTTTTCGATTATGCACCTGGAATAACCTGCTTTGTATCTTCAAGGACTGTCTTTTGATGCACGAGTAAGGCATCGATAGAAAGCTTATGGACCGTAGATTCCAAAAATACAATTTTCAGACCGTGCCAAATTCCAGTTTCTGCTGCAGTGGCCTTGAAATTCAATAGAACGCAAAGTTCGAAACCGCATAATATTAACTTTCACTTCTTTTCCGATTATGCGCCTGGAATAACCTGCTTTGTATCTTCATGGACTGTCTTCTGATGCACGACTAAGGCATCAATAGAAAGCTTATGGACCGTAGATTCCCAAAATACAATTTTCAGACCGTGCCAAATTCCAGTTTCTGCTGCAGGGGCCTTGAAATTCAATAGAACGCAAAGTTCGAAACTGCATATTAACTTTCACGTCTTTTCGATTATGCACCTGGAATAACCTGCTTTGTATCTTCATGGACTGTCTTTTGATGCACGAGTAAGGTATCGACAAAAAGCCTATGGACCGTAGATTGTAAAAATACAATTTTCAGA